AGACAATTTATCTGAATATTAATGCAGAAAACACGGCAACTTTTTTCTTATAAAGTTCAGCTTCCGATTGATCTGTCAGCTAACAATGCGTACATTCTTTTTTTTTGTTTTGCTTATGTAAAGTCTTTTTACTCACTTATAGACTTGAAATAATTGAAGCTATTACAAACGTTTAATGTCACCTAGTTTGTGAAATTAGTTTCAATCAACTATTCAAGTAAAGTAGGATCATTTGTTATATCAAGAAACTAACAACATAAACCTCAAAGGAAACCCTGCTAATATAAACTAGGGTCTATTTCCATCTAAAGTGTAGTTTGACAATAAGTTTGAAGAGAATATGCACTGATTAACAGAAAAAAAAGTGTTCATCTTTTTTACTTTGAAGACGAAAAAGTACATACGTGCAACATGAGATAAGATAATAAAAAAGGCTTGTAGAGAGCAAAAAAATCGTCTGAGAACTGTTTCCGACCCGTTCATTGTGACTCAGAGGTTGTAACTTTTTGCTGAAGAAGAAAAAAATTTTTTTTTCATCAATAGGGTTAACTTGCAATAAGTTGAATTCTATCATACTGCTTATCTCTGTATCAACAAGACATACTGCATCTATAGCCGAGATGGTCTAGAAGAATTCTACAGAAATTATCTTTGTATGGATCTGTAACGATATTAGATTATCAATCTGACTTTATTCTTTTTTGATTTCCCGAGTGTCTGAACCACTCTTTTTTTCTTAACCCCCCAGGTACAAAACGCTTTTGTTTTTTCCCTCTTTTTCTTCTTTTTTTTTTTTTTTATTTTATTAACCTGCAGTAAAAGAATGTCTCCTCCTATTGCTTCTGGAAACTCAGAGTCCGGTAAGGCTCGTTTCGCTGGTAGTGCCAGTTCTGGTATTCTCGAGTTGATCATTTTTCACCCTGTTGATACCGTTGCCAAGCGTTTGATGAGTAACCAAACCAAGGTAAAACAAAATGAATAATATAGTCGATATTGAATGTGTATTAGCTTTGGTCTTCTACTCGTTCTTTTGCTGAAAACAAGGCTCTTGTGGATCAAGTTGTTTTCAAGGTAAAAATCTCAATGATTTGACAAGGGGGTTCTCGCATATTAATGCAAAAAAAATTTTTTTTTAAAAAAATAGGAAGCTGCCAGTGCTGGTTTCTTGAAAAAGTATGCTTCTCTTTTCCCTGGTCTTGGTTTTGCTGCAGGTTATAAAGTTGCTCAAAGAGTATACAAGTTTGGTGGTCAACCTTTCGTGAGAGACTACTTGAACAAGCATCACAAGGAATTGTTCACCAACACATTTGGCGAAAAGACAGGAAAGACAGTGATGCACGCTACTGCTGGTAGTTTGGTGGGTATTGGTGAAATTGCCCTTCTTCCTTTGGATGTCTTGAAGATCAAGAGACAAACAAACCCTGAAGCTTTCCGTGGCCGCGGGTTCCTCAAGATTGTTCAAGATGAAGGTATGGGTCTTTATCGTGGCGCTGGCTGGACTGCCGCTCGTAATGCACCTGGTTCATTTGCTCTCTTTGGTGGTTCTGCCTTTGTGAAAGAATGGATCTTCCATTTGCAAGATTACAACAAGGCCACTTTCTTCCAAAACTTCTGTGCTTCCATTGGTGGTGCTGTTGCTTCTATCACTGTTGCTGCTCCTTTGGATGTCGTCAAGACTCGTATTCAAAACCGTAACTTTGAAAACCCTGAATCTGGTCTCAAGATCATTAAGGATTTGATCAAGCATGAAGGTTTCGGTGGTTTCTTTAAGGGTTTAACTCCCAAGATTTTAGTGGTAAGTGTTTTCAATAAGAGAGAGAAAGAGAGAGCTATGATGGATAACACATTTGATGATAGGTTGGTCCCAAGTTGATTTTCAGTTTCACTGTTGCTCAGCAATTGATTCCTGTCTTCCACAAGATGTTTGAAGGCCAAAAATAAGCTCATGTCAAATAATTGTGTATAGTTAAAAAAAAAATATTAAATCTTAGCCAATGATATCAAACTTCCCCCTCCATGTAATAAAAAAAAAAAAATTTGAATACAGTCAACGCTTATTGGTTTATATTTAGTCCATGACATCATTTCCTTATGTTAAAAGATATGTGGATAAAGGTGTATTTTAAATTTTAGCAGAATACAACTCGTTTTATTCATATTTTCAAGGAACAAGAGGAGAAGGAGTAAAGTAATAATAATATTTTTTATTTGCTTCTCTAAAAAAAAACACAAGAAAAAAAAAAGCGAGAAAAAAGAAAAAAGAGAAAGAGAAATAAGAATCGGTTTTTTATACACAAACGAGCGCGGTCTTGCTTGGCGAACTTCATGTTCTAAAAAGGGCACTTGTGGCGAGTAACAAAAACCCTTTGATTTGATTCATCATGGCGTTCTTAAAAATAAAAATGGTCAAAGGGGGGAAATGTTTATTTTTAACGAGTTATTAATAGAATATGTATGCAAGTTATTCTCATTGTCATAAAGAGGAAAAAGCAGGGTCAGAATGCAAACAAGTTCAAAAATGAAACGCACGGCCGTTTTTTTCAATGGCAAAAATTCGCCCGATACAACCGAGTTACATATTTGGCACATCTTGGCGTACACAAATAAAACTAAAACAACTTGCTATCGACGCGTTTTTTGTTTTGTTTCGTTTTGTTTTTTTTTCTTTTTTTTTTTGCTTTTTCTTTTTCGTTGTAGTTATGGATTTAGTTGGTTTAGTTTTGCAAAAATAGTAAGCAAGGGTTCATTCTTTCTGATGACGGGATAAGAAAAATATAAATAATTTTTTTTTCGTGTCCATTCAGGGGGAGCCAATCAAATGTGTTAAAGCAAGACCAAATTTGGATTTGATCAGGTAGTACATGCATTTGGTTCCTTAACTTCTTGGAATATAAATAGAGCCACTTTTTTTCTTAAATTTTCTTTTCTTCTTCTCCATCCACATTTACTTTTTAGCTTTTATTCTATACCATGACTGCCACAAAAAAAAAGAATCATACCAACAAGCCTTTGAAATGGACAACACAGCGTTTAAATCTGAATAACTCAATGAAACCAGCTTACCGCGTTCATAAGCGCACACCTTCTCATGCTACAACGCGTCCTGCAGTAATGACAGCTGAAACTGAAAAAACACCTTTCAATGAAATTGAACAATTGGAACGCGAATTAGCTTTTACGTATGACACAGTGGCTACTATCACGGTTCATTTTGAAAGTCTTCATCATGCATATACCTCTAGCAAGCCCCAATTGGACCAATCTAAAACGGCCACTCGTCTCGGTGAAATGGAAAAAGAACTCTTGACTGCTTATGATGATTTGGGTTTACAGGTAACTCATTTGGAACGCAAGATTGCCAAATTGGAAAAACGCCTTGCTCAACTCAAAGGTACACTTCAATCACCTCCCATTCCAGAAATCGCCTCTCCTTGCTCCTCTACTGATTCTGCTATTTCTGATTATATGGAAGATTGGATCTATCAACCATTCGATACCAATACTTTTATGTGTCAAAACAACTATCAAGACTTTATGCCAATCTATAACTCAAATCTTGAATATGCTTTTGTCATTTAAGTTCTCTTTATCCTTGCTCATTCCCATTCTTTATTCCACTCTTTATTTATGTTTATTCTATGCTTTACTTTCGTTTTTTTTTTGTACTCTTGTGTTGTCTATATTATACCCTTTCATTATGCTTATTCCCCCCCCCCTTTTTTTTTTATTTATATGCATTGATCCTTTCTTTATTTGTAAATAATAAATCCTTTTGTGTTTATGTATGACAACTAAAACGGAACAAACGGAAAATGTCCATTCTGAGTAACAACCAAATGGATTTTGATATCTAAAATATGTTAAAGAAAAAAGAAAAAAAAAAGATGCATGATATCATCAAGTGATGCCATCTGTGTTACTTGAGTACTTTAGTTCGGAACCAATCAGATGTAATCGGATAGAGCTTATTTTGTCCAAACAAACGTCACACATGGCCAAGTGGCGTATGCATGCTAAATGGTTTAGCCACAATAGAAGCCACACATATATATATATATATTTATTTATTTATTTAAAGAAATTAACGTCTTGGAGGACCAGAAGGTAATTTACCACCTCTTCTTGCTACAGGAACACCAATAAGACTTTCTTCTCTTCTTCTTTTGGTAGCTGTATTATAAGAAGAAGAGTTGTAGGGGGTATACGCTGATTCATGTTCATATTCATCCATTTTTAGTTCATCATTCATTTCGTCATCGTCTTCTTCTTCATCAGATGAAATTGTATTGTATTGAGGTTGAACAGAGGGTGCCAGATTTTCATTAGCAATATGCTGTTCAACCCATGTCATAGCATCATTGAATGACTCATGGCCCAAATAGAATTTACCTTCTCTTCTTTCAAACAAGTAATCTCTTAAACTCGTAAAATCTTTAGCAAACAGAGACACTGAACGAGGACGGCTGACAAGAGACACATACTTGCCAAAAGTAAGAAATTCCAATGCTTTCATAGCACATTGATGCCCGTCTCTTTTTGTAAAGACATGTCTGTAGTCCTCATGCTGAACAATGGATGTAAAGATATGAAGTACGTGTTTCAATGAGCTAATGAGCGCTGGTGGTGGATGGAATGAACCCGAGACAAATTCAACCAGTGGTCTGTTGCTGCCTTTGAATTCTTTAGGATCATTCTTCAGTGCCAAGAGCAGATGAGCAATCATTTGGAATAAGTCGGCTGTTTTCTTTCGCTGCAATACATCCGATATAGCAGCATGCTCTTGAGATAATTGTCGGCATAATTTGGCTACATGTGTATTGTGTGCTCTTAATCTTTCAGCTGAAGTGATGGCCACACCTAATTGTACTCGAGAAAAGATTTCATACTGTTTTATTAGTCTAGTTATTGTTGTTGATACATTACCTCATCATCTTCTGAAATATCAGAGTATTCCACTAAGACATCATAAGCACAAGACACAGACAAAAGTAGATGACTTACCACATACAAACTCATAACTATTGAATTTATCGAGTAAATCTTCATTCAAGAAGGATTTCGGTTCTGGCTTTGATCCTATTTTATACAGAATCATGAGTCACAGAGCATAGATACTTGATCTCCTTACTTCTTATGGTACTTTCTTCTTCATTGTCTTTTTCTGTATCTGTCATGTCTGCATAATAAGTTGACACAGGTTCACCAGAAGAACTATCAACATAAGGGATCAAGTTTCGCATAAACCTATATGGATGAATAACATGTCGAGTCCATCTCAATTACCTTCGCATCGAAGTCAATCTTTGTTTGCCATCAATCACAATACGTGTTTGTTTGCCTCTAATTTTTCTTGTAGCAAATAGCAACGGAGGGATATAGTAGTTATTCAATATTGAGTCAACCAATTCACTCATTTTAGCAGACTCCCATACAACAGCTCTTTGATAGGGAGCATCCTATAGTCGATGGTTACAAGTTGACACTTATTACGATGATGATTACCATGATCAGTTCTTTCTTTCGAATCATATCTATCAACAACCTAAGCAAATATTTCATTTATTAGATCTAAATACCTTTTAGCTTCCAAGTAGATAGCATACGAGTCTTGGGTACCGGTAATTCTCGATGAACCATACTATAAAGAAAGAACAAAGATTTTTTTTTTCTAGACGCGTCAAAAAAAAACAACTAATGATCAAACGAGATCACGTGATCTTAAATCCTTCAAAAATGCTGCGAATCTCTTTTTCTCTTTTTCTCTTTTACGCTATGGAGGATAATACAGTCAGTCACTTTGTTGTATTGTTTACTGCTCAAAAAGCAAGAAAGAACAAAATCTGGCAAGACGGTAAGCCAAAGAAAGAAAGGTCTGTTTGTATGTATGTCTAACCTAGTTCAGGCTTTCTCAAGTACTATAGTTTTAATAAAAAAGTAAGCAATACTTGAGTAGCATAAGTCCTAACCAAATCCATAGCTTGTGTTGATTGATGAAAAAGGCTATAATATTGACAGGTAGATAGAAATTAATTGACAACATGACTATTTATATATGTATATGTAGGAAATTCAATAAGGGTGGTAGGCCTGCTGTAGGTGATGAATTGGAATTTGATGGACATATAGTGACAATAGAAGAATATCAATCTACAGAAATAGCCAATGTTAATCAGCCCAGTCGAGTCAATGTTAATCAACCCAGTCGAGTCAATGTGTCGCTACCTGATAGACAGCTCAATAAAGAGCCACCCAAGGAAAATGTACAGAAACAATCAAAAAATGCACCTTTTAAACCACCTTCATTTGTACCCAAGAAAAGAATGATAAAATCTGATTCAGAAGAGGAAGACCCAATGGATATTGATGACAAACCAACCCTTCCTTCTTCAAGTATACCCACATCTTCTACTGCTGTTACTCCTCCAGTTCAACCTACTCCAGCTCAACCCACACCTATAGGTTCTTCTTCATGTGTCCCATTAAAAAGAGCTCGAATGGGTCTATCCAAGAAAACAACATCTGTATTACATCAACATATCGCTCAACAAACTACTCCTCCACCTCAACAAACATCATTTCAACCTGCTTCTAGTATGACTGCACAAGCAACCACAAACACGCCGAAACACGCATCCACAGAGACACCAAAAGTATCCCCTGAACAAACCATCAGTGGCCACAAGGACCCTACAGAAACAAAATATACGTCCATGATCCTACAGTTCCCCAACAGTCGAAAAGCACTTGGCCTCGTGAAATCCAAAAACTACCCTAAACGATCCAAAGTTGTGCCTGCTAAATTCAAGAATCCAGCACTCTATCAGAATACATTCCGAGCCATCATTAATGAACATTTAGATATCTTGTTGTTAAACTATGGCATGTATTTTCATTCTGTGTATGAGAAACTCGGTAAAAACAAGCACGGACAAGACCTAGAGCGTACTATGCGATCCAAAGGTATTGCTATCTATGTTCAAAACGAATTAAAGCAAGAGAATCCACGCTATGGACAGTCAACATTTAGACTGATGCTGCGTTCGAATCGGGAGCATCACAGTAAATACAACAGAGACGATATTTGGATCATTTCGAATGTGCCCAGCTTTGAATCAAGCCAGACATTTCTGGCTCGAAGTACGTTTTTTGGTCCATTTTCAGATGGATCTTTGGAACTCCATTGTTTGTCTGCTCGAGATGCGCGTGTGGCTTCTCAGGTAATGAAAAAGGAGACTAGTGTCTATGCTCTTCGCACGATTTCTGCCAGTACTGAATTTATGATGTTGGATACCTTGGACCAACAGCTGCATGAATTACCTGTCTTGCCTTATCTTCTATCCAACCCTCGTTTATCCAAAAAGGCCAAGCCATTGCCTACACTAGAACACATTCGACTCACACAACACGACCATGTAGATATAGAAGCTAGAATAAGAGAGACTATTCAGTATCACAAACTCAATGCAGATCAAGAAGCTGTGTTACGACAAGTAGCTAAAAGTGTGATTTATTGTCCTGGTTGGAATGAACAATTAGAACAGCCTATTGTATTGGTGCATGGTGTGTATGGCTCAGGCAAGAGTTTTCTTGCTGCTGTAATCATCATCTTTTTGCAAGACTTGATTGATACTGTGAATGGAAAAAGAGAGCCTGAAGATGCTATTTCATTCAAAATCCTTGTTTCTTCTATGACAGTAAGTGAATAGAAAAAAAAAAGAGAGAGAGACCTACTTACTGTTAAAAATAGAATGTTGCAGTAGATCGCATTCTTCAGACATTGCTTAAATTAGGCTATGATCATTTTATTCGTATTGGAAGTATGAAGAAAATCGCCAAGAATTTATTGCCTTTTACAGCTAAAGCCAGGGCATCCAGTAATGAAGGTAAAAACAACGTTTGTCATGATGATACTCACTTGTCAATCAGAATTAAAGGAATTGGAACAAATGCTTGAAGATAGTCAAAATACAGAAGAAGACATGGACCATATTGCTACTGCCATTCAACGGTTTCGTAAATCAGAAAGTACAAATCAAATCCATGCTGTGCAAGTGGTTGGTACTACCTTCATGTCTTCTACGTTTGAAGTATTTGATGGTATTCAATTCCCCCTGATTTTAGTAGACGAATCATCTCAATTGATGGAACCTCTGACATTGGTGCCCTTGGCCAGGTTCATGTGCCATCGCCTAGTAATGATTGGTGATCCCTTACAATTACCGCCTACGTTGGCTACAAATGCGGAAGAGTCCAAAGTAGGACAAGGATTGGACAAGACCTTGTTTGATCGTATGATGGAAATGGGGTATGATTCTATTATGCTGCGCACACAGTATCGTTGTCATCCTCGTATTTCCAACATCAGTAACAAATTGTTTTATGATCAAAGGCTGCTGAATGGTGTGGATGCACAAGACAGGAAGCCATTGATTGAAGGATTGCCTACTTTGTTATTTGTGAATGTGGGTGGATTTGTAAGTAAATAAGGACCTTATCTTAAAGAAAGAGAGAGACTGATCAAAAAGACAGGAACAAAAATCAAAGCATACCAATAGTTATTGGAATGAGGCAGAAGTAGCTGTTTCTGCTCATATTATCCAATCTTTATTATCACTTCAAATCCCAGCTGTGGATTTAGGTGTGATTTCTTTATACAAGGAACAAACAGATAAACTAGTAGAATACTTGAAATCCACAGATGCTTCAAGTACAAACAGAAAAGTACAAATCTCAACTGTGGATGCTTTTCAGGTAAAACGCTGAATCATACTAGGGTTGATTTAACTCCTTTTTCTCCATCATTCAGGGTGGTGAAAAAGATGTGATTATCTTGTCTACTGTGAGGACAAGTGAAAGTCAATTTATGGACAATCAGTTACGTATCAATGTGGCTCTGACCCGTGCTAAAAGGTAAAAAAGAAAACACATAGACATAGATGTACTGACTTTAACTAGACATTTGATCATTTTGGGCAATCAAAATGTGTTTTCCATGAACCCATTATGGTCCAATATCTTATGGGATTGCCAAGGTAAGATCTAAAGAAAAGAATATGTACACTAATAGCGATAGAACACTGCATGAATGCCAAGAGTGTTGCTGTTTTATTATCCAATCTTAAAATAGATTAAAACTTGAATCTTGCCCATTCTAATTCGCATTGCCTTGCATGTCTTTGATCACTTTGTCTTAAAGACCATTGAAGGGCCTTGAATTGGTCTAAATTATGCTGTGGTATAAATGGACTAGGATGTGTGCTTTTGACCAGTAAATCCCCATACATTTCAGGATCGTATGGTGGTTTCTTTGTCTTTACTGTCTTGTCTAGTCTGATCAATGCCTCCAGCCTTGCTTTCTTTTCATGCGTCAATTGAATCTTCTTATGCGATATAGGCTTAGGGTGAATAGACCAAGGTACTGTCTCAATCATAGGGAGGAATGTTGATTTTTCTTTCCAGGTCCAGTCTTTTAATTCAAAAGAATCCTTGTTATCAAAGTAAGCTTCTAAGCATACACGGGGCAAACAAGGCTGAGTTGCTGTATGATGCTTTATTTCGTCTAGGCGTTTGAGTACCTTGAACTCTATTTGCCATCGTTTATTGTTGGCTAATGTGCCTGGCTGTCTGAATGGTTCCATCACACATTTTACTTTTCTGGCCAATGCGTAGTCAATTTCTGTCATAGGTTAGATTGAGTGTAACCTGTCTGATTGTACCTGTAGTCAGCACATCTGGAAAGTAACCCAGAATATCTTGACGTGTTTCATCATCTACCAGCATGACTAAACACAGCAATGTAAAAGAGGGAAAGAAATGACGCGTATTGTGCCTGTTGACAAATAGCTTACGACGGCATGACAAATCAAAAAGGGAAATTATTCATTTTAGCTATATGATTTCATACACATCGGAATCACAAAAGCAAAGGTAGATTCGGCACTTGACTAAAAGTGTCTAAAAGGTAGGACAAATAGTGTCTTTTTCAAAAAACGAATGATTTTAGCACACAAGCACCAATAATCTGGATGTAATCCCTTTTTATATATAAAGCAATCTTTTCTTCTTCTTCTTCTTCTTCTTTTTCCTTAGTATGCCCTCTTTCGAAAAGATGACACCTTATGATGAATTAGAGAAATTACAACAACAGTTAGACGATTTACAAGCTGACAGAGCAGCAATGGAAATTGTGTTTACTTCATTAAAAAACGCATTTCTAATATATCCTCATGTCGATTGGGAAGAAGTAGACAAGGAAATATGCAGGGCTTATGATGATTTAATGGCGCAAGTACGACATCTAGACCGTTCTCTAAAACGATTGGATAAAAGCATAAAATTAACAGAAGCCAGAGTTAAATCAATTGTTTAGACATTTATACCTTAATCTATACCTACTACAGACACTAGCTATGATTGGCAGAAAAAATGTTGTCAATCTAATCACCTTTTAAATAAATTCTTTTCTTTCTTTTTTCATAATTTCTATTTTATTTTGAAGCAAAAAGCATACGTGTCCTTAACGTATAGCAAAGATGATACAATGCGCTAAGCTTATGCTGGTGCTGACTGCATTCTGTACAAGCTTCAGAAGCAATGCCAGAAAGAAAAAATCAAGATGACATTGCTTTGGTAACAGTATGCCGAAGAATGATTGAGAAAAAAGGCTGGATAGAGAGCAGAACCGAAGAAGCATTTATTGATCAACATCTATTTCCATTCATTGAGCCAACTTTGTTGAATGATGATAGTTTGACATACTCTAGAAAGAAACCAATCGATTTGCATATCGTTTTCTAACTCGAGTTACAGTTAGATCTTCTAGAGGAATCCCTTTGCTTGACAGCTCGCTGTCAGCAAGCCAGAGCAAGGATACTTGCTAAAAAATGATGTCTGACTTCTGCCTAATGCATGAATCCCGAGGTGAAGATGTGCAACTGTTGGCTGTTGAAGTAAAACCTCCTTGAGCAAAGCCAACTCAACTTCTAAGCGACCGCTCAAAATTGGGCTTGGAGTTGAAGAGGATGGTAGATCAATAGATCCAACATCTTTTGGCATACTAGTAGAAGGTAAGTTTTTTTTTTCTATAGAAAAAAAGCATTTCCAAATAAAATAATACTATAATGCCTTAGGTTTTGACTGCTCTCTGTTCAACTGCTAAATGCAAGAATGTGGGGTGTACCTCTTTGTTCAAGAAGAGAAATTTTCTTTGTTGAAAATAGGCAATGACTTGGTGCGATCTTTGGCCTGGTCTTGGGTCTTTTTAATTTGTTTTTTTTTTTTTCAAAAAAAAAGAGCTAGAAGGAAGGCTTTTGTTTCTTTGAAAGATAAAATGGATCTTCCGATTGAAAGGTCTCTTTCACAATTGAAAATATTGTAAATAAACCTCTGAAATAAACTCAAATATGAATATCGCATTTCTTTACATAATTGACTTGCTATCACAAAGCTTCTATTTAGCTTTTTTTTGTGCATATTTAGCATTAACTTAAAGAGCTGCAAGTTCTATATCGATTGAGCTCTGGATAAAAGAACAAGAGAACCAGTGATATCATGTCTTGATATTGTTTAATGCGTAAACAGTTTTCGTATCATAAAGATACATTATTTATTGAAAGAAAAGCCTTTTTTCTTTGACTTTTCAGATGTCATGGGTCTACCTAATTCTAAGCGATGTTTCCTTTCTTCTAAATCAACCAGTTGTTTATCAAGCGCCTCTTTCATTTCCTTATGACGTGCATATAACTTGATCAAAGTTAATTATCTTCATCCAGATATTATTGCTTTACCTCAACTTCTGATTGCTTCAATTTTGCTTCTTTTTCTGCAACTTTAGCTTGGAATACAGCTCTCATTTCTGCTTCCATTTTACTTAGTTTCTGTTCATGAGCAAACCTTTCTTCTTCCATCTTTTGTGTAGGACTATCGAACCATATAAGTTCATTGAATCAACCATGATGACTTACTTGACTTCCTTAAATACAGAAGAATCTTGTTGAATGCCCATCGCAGCTAGTTTCTCAGTACGATAATTTTCGTAAAGGACATCATTGGTATATTCTTTTAATTCTTCCATATGTGTACTACACGATAATGAACACAAATTTACACAAGGTAATTCTTACCGGATCAACATTTGTCGAAGCTTAACAAAATCACAGTGTTCTTCGTTATCAACCTCAATTACACCCCAAGGATATTTACGACCACGCACACGACGACCACCGTCAATTTCGAATTCCTTGTCAGAACCAACAACAGCAAATGGAATCTTGGACATGATTTCCTTGTTTTCTGCAATGGTTTCTTGATCGTCGTATTCGTACACAGGAGCTTGATAGATTTGAATTTTATGATAAGCAATGTCAGCCAAAATGCGCTCCTTAAAGGCAGCAACTTCTTCTTCTGTCAATGTATCTGCCTTGGCAATCACAGGAATCAAATTGACGCGGGTATGAAGACGACGCATGAATTCGATATCCAAGGGCTTCAAGGCATGGCCTGTGGGTGCAATAAAGTAAAGACAGGCATGAATACGGTTATCCACCATACGACGACGATTCACACGATTTTCTTGCTCAAGATAAGCATCAAATCTTGATTCAATGTTGTCCAAGATAGGCCTCCAACTATAATGGGTGAATAAGACACAAAGAACGTGTTGTATTACCTTTCTTCATTATTAACAAAATCACCAAAACCTGGTGTATCAACCACAGTCAATCTCAATTTAACACCGTTTTCTTCAATGTCTGATGTGATAGATTTGATCTCCACTGTCTGTGAAACTTCTGTCGTCAATTCCGGTAGTTCCTTTGTTGGGTATAGCTGAGAATGAAACAAGGTATTGACCAATGTAGATTTGCCTAAACCAGATTCACCTTTGTATATGTGTAAGAAACAAAAATGACTCGATCCATCAAACTTACCAACTACCATACAGGTAAACTGAAATCCAGTTTTTACTGATTTTCTGTGCACCTGATTAGGCAAATTGGCAAAGCCAACGTAACCTTGGAGTTTTTTGTGGATCACAGTCATCTAAAAAGAACATGTGTGTGAATAATTGAATTTAAATTTTGAGTAACACACTATCGTAATGATAACTTTACGCCACTAGCACTTGTTTGATCTATTATTTGTCTATTGGTCATTTCCTTTCTTTTACTTTATTTTATTACCGTTCATAATCATAAAGAGAAAGAAGAAGGGAAATAGTCAAGAAGGCAAAGTAGAAAAAAAAAAAAAGGGGGAAAGGAATGTGTGTGTATATAGAATAATCTCCTATAAAATATGTTGACAATAACTTTTTTAATTGGTATCCGTCTGTGCATGATTGACGAAAAAAAAAAAAACTTGAGTGTGTAACAGAGATAGCTTGTGATTTTATCTGGAAATAGTTGCTTGATTGGTTGGGTGTTTCTAAATAGAGCAAGCCTTTCTTGGCTTTAACTAGATCAAAAAATTTGTATATAAAAATAACAGCTCTTTTTTTTTTTATTATTACTATTTTCTTGTTCTTTATATTTCTTACAATGATAATGGATACTTGCCAAACAAAAGCTTCTATTTATGATACTATACCACACCTTGATTCTTGGTATCAAAACAAGACAGCTACTGTGGTGCCTTGTGTAAATCAAAAGAAAAGAAAGACTTGTTCCAATACTGTTTCCTTTTCTGATGCTCCTCCTTCTGTCTATTGCTACCAAGAACCCAAGGAACGGCCTACACCTTTAAAAAGAAACAACAGTAGTTCTGAACAAGGTAAACAAGCAAAATCATGATTTATTTCAAAACTGACCTTATCATTAGTGAAAGGACTTTTAAGATACTGCACAAGTAAACTTGCGCGACAGCGTTCTTAATATACCAACAACAACAACAACGACAACAACAAAAGTACACTTTATTATTATACAATATAATCTTCTTTCTTTATACGCTTTACTTCTACTTTAATTTCCTCTTTTAATAAAATCTCTCTTTTTAATGTCTTTTCAAGGTTCTTTAAATCAGCAGTAAACAAGACCTAATTTTTGATTAAATGATGTCAACCTGTGTATACTTACTGAATGTGCCCAGCCACTATAATCACCAAACAAGACTCGGAAATGATTGCCTACTTCAACATAAAGCTTTTGATTTAATGTCTTGGCCTTATTCTTGAACCCATAATCTCTCAAGGCAATTTGCCATACATGTGTATCTACTGGAATCGATTCTGAATGATCCAAGGACATCAAACACTTATGGGGAGTGAGTAAGTGAGTGCTGAATACAAACAACAAGGAACTTACGACACAATCAGCCACCTTAGGTCCAACCCCTTGAAATTCCATCAAGACTGCTTTTGCTTCTTCATAAGGCACTTGGCGCAACGTGTACAGCCATTGTTCTTCTAGATCAGGGTGATCTTGCTTGAGCTTATGGGCTGTGTTAGCAATATATTTAGCTCGATACCCAAATCCCAATTGTCTCAAGGTGGTTTCTAGCTGAGGATCCAGCGTAAGTTCATGCAGTGTAGGAAACTCATAAAACATCTGCTGTTCATATTCACCAATCTGTTTACCAAACCGAGTGCATAGTTTATCGATCATGAGTGAAATACGAGTGATATTGTTGTTACTAGAACAAATAAAAGAAATCAAATTCTCCCATGGATCTTGTCGAAGCATACGAATGCCTTGAAATTGAGCTGCTTTCTTTGCAAAATTAGCATCTAAGGCTGACCATCGTTCATAACAGGCTTGAAGTGAGACTCGATCTAATTGAAAATAGTCTTTGATGTCTTGTATTGCGTCATCTTTCAGTTCCTGTTGATATCCATACATGATAGTGGAAGCTATATATATATACAAAAGACATCAATCAAAAGTCAACATGATCTATATACAAACGAGTTTCTTTAAGAACAACAAGTCGACCATGAAGTACAGAAACCCTGTTTATGGGAAATGAGAATTTTTTTTTTATGCATCGATTACCAATGATCTTGGATCTGTTTCCAACGAAAGGACTGTCCACATCGTAATGAGTTGAGTCGTAACTCATGAGGTGAGATCATCAAGTCTTTCCATAATAGTTTATTTGCTTGCAATCTCAACATGAGTTGTTTGACAAAAAAAAAAAGAAAAAAATCAAAACAAAAACGCCCTCAAGAAAAGGGTAACACTTGCTTCTTTTTTCTTCTTTTTTTTTATCCTTTTTGTTTGGCATGAAGTCCTTCAAACCAAACAAATCTCATTCCAACCCGAACTTTCGATGTTCTGCCAAAGTAGTTGAAAAACTTACCAGAAGTCCAAGTAAACATATGAAAAGACGAACTGCAGGTTTCGCGCTTTCTCCCTTGGCTGGTTTATCGCCTCGTAGGACAGATCGATTGGCACAACCTGCAAAGAGTTCGGCCATGATTCGAAAAAAAGCAGATGGATTTTGTGAGATTATTGAGACAAAAAGGGCATGGGGATACCTTGTTCAGGGCCGAGGACATGTCTTTACACTCGATAAGGGATTACACAACAGACAAGAGTCCGAGGCTGCTGGCTATGTCATTGGTACTGGTAATGACTGTGACATTGTGTAAGTTATGTTTTGTTTGTTTGTTTTTTATATTGATTCTTTAGTATTCATCATGTTAATGCTGAAAAAAGACACGCTTTTATTTTCTTTGTAAGTTGATCATGAGTATGCATACAAATTGATGAGCAAGTAGGAAACACGGTTTGATCATGACAAACATTCTACACCAGTGTTTATTTGCAATCACAGGTAACACAAGAACAATAAAATTAAAAAAAAAAAAAAAAAAAAAAAGTAGCTTACTTTTACTTTGTTAGTACGAATGGAACTTGGATCAATGGAGAAAAAGTCAAAGGATTTCGAGAATTGGAGACAAACGATATTATTCAATTTCTTGATCCTAGTCGATATCCTTTAGAGGGTAAGCATCATGTTTGTTTATGACAGCTAACTCAATCTGAATAGAAAATCCTTGTTACATCTTTGTGGAATCCACCATGAATGATATCCGAGCCAAATCAATTGATAGTTTCTATAATCTCAAAAGTAATATTATTGGAAAAGGAAATTATGGCAATGTAGTTATTGCAGAGTGTAAAGAGACTGGTAAGACAGTAGCGATTAAAATGATACCCAGAAAAGCATTTGCCAAAAGAGAAGTTTGGAAGACCGCAACCCTTCGAGAAATCAGTGTCTGTATGCTTTTTCCAATTCATGTAAGTGAGTAAGAAATCAACAAAAGTGATTTATAGAATCATAGCCTTGTATTATTCAAGTCAGTCGTATGTTTGAACAAGATCAACAAATGTATATTGTGATGGAATAGTAAGTGCACTTTCTATAGTACCTGAATTCATGTTGTATAGTGGTCCTCATGGTGACTTATTTGATATTGTGGCATGTCGAGACGAAATTTTCAAGGAATATGAAGTCCGTATCATCTTTGATCAAATTGCACATGCTGTTGCGGTAAGATGGTTCAATTAAGTGAGGCTTATTTATCTTTGGATAGTGTCTTCATGAAAACGATATTGTACACCGTGATATCAAGCTTGAAAATGTCATTGTGACCGACAAAAAAAACTTGTATGTCAAACTATGCGACTTTGGTTTCTCGACCTTCATCAATCAGAAACAAGCACTTACGACAAGTTGTGGCACTGCCATGTATGGTAACTATCGGACACCACATTATATACATTCTAATTGGCTTTAGTTGCTCCTGAAATTGTAAGTGCAAGGCCTTATGGTAAAGCAGTGGATGTTTGGAGTCTAGGTGTCTTGTTGTTTATTACTTTGACTTCTACAAGTCCGTTTCCCCAATGTAAGTCTAATGTTTGCACATAATGATGCTGAACTCTTTTTAGTATCAGACGATCAAACAAAATGGGAAAAAGAAAAAGCCATTCTTGACAAAAGCATTAAAGAAGGCAAGTTCACATTTAGTCATCCTTCTTGGGAATATATCAGTGCAGAAGGTATAGAATACAAGTAAACAACATCATGCTCATTCTTTTCTTTTTAAGCAAAAGATTTGATTCAACAAATGATGAAGGTCAATGTAGAAGAACGTATCAATATTGAACAGGTCCTTGTAAGTTATCTATCTATGTATTCATAAACTGACGCTTAAACTAGCAACACCCATGGCTTCAGCAAATCGAAGTAAGTACTTTATCTAATCATCTTTGTTAATGATCTTTATTATAGAATGCAGAAACATTCAAGACAGGATTAAAGCGTAATCCTATGCTTGTTAAATACCTCGAGAGAAAATAATTCATCTTGTTCATACCACTAATCAATCCCCCCTCCTTTCCCTCTTTTTTATTTATTTATATATCTCTGTCTTTGCCCCTTCTTCATTCTCTCTCTTTTCTCTTTCTATAAAAGACCAACTAGACAGACATGAAGTGTATTCTGGTAATAATCAAATAAAGAACAAAACTTGAAAATAAGACTTAATAGACCATTTATTCTTTTTTATTCATGATATGGGACAACAGTACGAAGAATATGGCAACATGAAAACACCATAATAAAACAAATAAAAACACAGCGAATCCACATTCGTCCTAGCCTTTATCATGCAAAAGAAACCCCATGAAGTGTACAATAGGGAACACTACATTCTTGATTTCTTTGGCAGGTATAAAGGGAGTCGACAAAAGAAAACTGTTCATGCGACATTTTGTATCAAATACAGACTTCAATTTATCCATGAATAGCTGTTTCGGCTAAACTTGGGAGCAAAGCAGACAATTATAGTCATTTACTAGAATAAAGTATATTTTTTCAGGTTTCTTATGCACCAATCCTTTTTTCTTGGGGACTACCATCTACCGGGCATGTCCGCAGAGCACCAAGCAGAGAGGGAATGGCTATAGAATACTCCTATCCACTCCAAAAGCAACCACTCTTGTATACATGTACAATTTTCTAAAGAAAAGGAGGTCACTGTATTTTATCAATTGATTACATGTCACACAATAAACAGGTTTTTATTATTTATCACATAGAGAAACCAATTATTTATCAAATCAAAGATAAACGATTTCTTTGCGTGAAAAAAGAAAATTATAAGGCAACATAAAAAGAATAGAAAAAACATAAAGCTAATAGTAGCTATATTCTCAAAATACTTTTCTTTGGAATTGACAGAGTGTTCGTCATTAATACATTTATACATTTTGTATTTTTTTAGGACTACCCTTTCTCTAGACACAGTTGTATGAACTATTCCCCTCTCTATTTGGTACTCTGCGAACATGTTTGATAGGGAGTGGTGCATAAAAAACCCGATTTTATCGTGTACCAATTGATCCTTTATTTCTTACAATTCATCTTTGCTTTACTTCAATTAGCTCTCAGATAAAAGCAAGCACACCAAGCCAAATGGTTCATTTGCGCATCACTCAGTTTGTCCAAGCACTTATTGAACAGAATGAATTCAGCAATGAAGCAGTAATCTTCTATTATTTGCATTCGACTTTAATCCTTTTTTCTTTTATATGGCTACAAGTTTCTCGTATATACTAAATTACTTACCGCCTTCTTCTGTTGTCTCTCCTTCTTCTTTTTTCGCCGGCGATGTCAGTTATACTTCTCCTTCCAGTTCTTTTTCTGTGTGCATTGGATATGTTTCTTTTCAGTTTTTCTCTTTTGTGATCGCCTTTCAAGAATGCTTCTAGTGATGAGTATAGTAGTGTATGATTGGATTCATGTCACCAACCATAGAAGTGTATACAATATATTATGTGATGCATACATATATATGTAACACGAGAGACGTTTATATAATCCAATAATATATAGTGATGTTACCAATAATGTCCAACAAGAAGCATAAAAAAATACATTATAAACTTTTGTGGAACCCGTCTTTACTGTCAAGATTAGCGGTTACTGACAATAGTTTATTGGCGGCTACTAACAAGTTTATTCAAAAACTACCAACTGATTATTGGCCTTTACTGCTAAGATTAGCGGTTTTTATCGAAGTTGCGTGTTGAAATATTTGGGCAAATTATTATACTGGAAATGCTAGAGATAGAATTGAACTGTGTCTAATGGTAATTGACAATAGCTTTATTGTGTTAATTAGATAATATCATAATGATTTGCTTACTTTTTCTAATTTCTTTTAGTATAATAAAAGATTCTCAAGAGAAAGAAAAGCAACAAAGAGAATAAAGATAGTTATAAAAATGACTAGAGTAGTGTAACATTCCTGTTTGAACCATAGTAGTAAATGAGAAGAAGTTGACTATGTCCCTTTTATTCAGCGTATAGGAACAACCAATCGCTCTAGCCTTTAAATTGTTCATTTTGCTTCTAACATGATCTAATCTTTTTCTTGAGCCTTAATCATATCTTTTTATGTCTCACTGTCTTTAATTCTCTCATATAATGTCATTTCACCAGCCCAAAGGTATTATATTATAGTAATGAATATTTTTGAGATCTCTTTACTAACTCTATACCATAGATAATACATTGGCGCAAAGGGATTAAGACCATGTACGTCAATACTAAACAGGATGAGCTTATACAATAAGGTAAGTCAAGAAACAACAAAAGAGCCTGAAGGCAAGTATGCTGGACTATACTATTGCTACTGGCTCAACAGGTTAAACATTGGATTAGCAAGTAATACAAGCGTAAATAAAATGCCTGGGGGCTAATACCAATAGTGTTAGCATGGTTAATAGAATTGGGACCAATAATGTAGTATGAAAAAGTAAATAAATAATTATGATTGGAAACAAAACTAGTATAAATCATACGTTTTCATAATAAACATTAAGCGAATCAAATGCAAATATGTATCGATTGAAAAGACCTCAAAACGATCATTTACAGCCGATATCCAGCTATCAGGTGAAATTCAACCGATAACTGAATTCAATTGAACAACCTGATATCAAACTGACCTGATAGCGGTTGTCAAGTCCATTGTAAAACCTGATCGGAGTGCTGTTCGCCCGATGTCAGGCTATCAGGTGAAATTCAACAGGTAACCGATACCGGACGAAGTTTAATGGATATCAAGTTAATTTTTCAAGTCTGTCGCTTAATAGCGGTTGAACTCACTTGATCACTGGGCGATCGGTGCTCTCAAATACTTTTTTTATATAGGGGTTCATGTTATAAATATTCCTCAAGAACAGAATGCTATCCAGGGACCTATAGCATTCTGTTACAGGAGGTTAAACAGATACCCATTTGAGCTAAACATTATTACTTACATTATATCAGCAACATCGATGCTTATGTCGTTTCTTAAGATGGTCTCATTATACTCGATTCTTGGTATCAAGTCAGAATGTGTAACATTTTCATCAAGTCACAAGATGCCTGTTTTCAAGATGCACACCTCACTTTGTTCTCAGAAATATATACTTTCAGTTCCTTAATTATTTTGGTAGCAAATCCTAAAAATGGCAGTAACCAAGTAACCATAACTTTCCCTTCTAACTTTTACATATGACTCTTGAGGTACAGATGATGGAACTATACCTTTGAGATAACAAAACTCTTCAATTGATGAAGACAAGCCCACAGAGGAAATATATGTGAGCTTAATGAGTATAGAGTTTTGGTTTAAGGTAAAGTTTGGCACCTTTCGACACTAGTAACATCTTGATTCTACGCATTATGGAATCATGCTCTGAAGTTACTCGATAAGATTGCATTGGATGGATAAAGCATTCAGTAAGTTTCTTTCAAAGTTGTTTGAATTTGTAAAAAAAACCCCCCCTTTAACAATTCCTGCCAAATATATCTCGTATGCATTGCCATATTTGACTAAGGTTACTGCCAAATCCAATAAAGATTTTCTGTCAATAAAAAATAAAAATGATTGCCATAATTTTCAAAATGTTCCTCAAAATCTGCTGAAAACCCCAGTAGAAGCTTGATCAAATTTCATTGCAAAGTAAAGGAGAGAAAGAGATAAAGCTGTATCATTTTTTTTTGTTAGTGATGTCATATTACATATCATTAAGGTTTTTATGAATGAGATCCCGAGTCAAAATGAAGTGTGGTACAACTTGGCAAAAAAAAGTAATTTGACTCCATGGAATCATCACATAAGCAATATTCTAATTGGTTCTCAAATTAAGGGTCGCTGAACTGGGAAACGGCTGAATATTTATATATATATTTTTTTTTATTGAAAATAAAGAAGAGGTAATAAAATACAATTATGTTACAATAAGAAAGAGTCAACATCTTACTTTCTAGCAGCAATCATAGCAATGATAGCGGCACCAAGACCAGAACCATCTCTGGCAAGGTCGAAAGTGACCTTAGAACGAGCCTGCTCACCAATAATTTCACTTAAGGCTTGACCCATATTCTTTTCAAAGTTGGGATAGAATTCATAAAGAGAACCATCAATAGCAATGATGGCTTCTTGGCCTACTTTACCAGTGTGTCTCATCACACCTGCAATATGACAAGCAGCAATACGAGCAGCACGAAGACCGACAGCGTTACAGAGACGCTTCACAATTTGACGATCAGCCAAGGTGGTGGAAGGAATGTTCAAGACAGATTCCAAAATATGAGCCGTGTCGCTTAATTCAGGAGTTTCATCCACTTCAATAGTAGACATGTAAGCAGTCTCAAAGCTCCAGTTCTTGTTCAATTCTCTGGAAGACTTGCCATCAAACAAGTATAACTGATCAACCAAATCAAGAATGGCGTTACGTGTAATTTCACCAAGATACATACCGGCTACCATCTTTTCATGAAGTTGTTGGTGAACATTGACTGATTCACGGTCCATTTTGTTGTCATAGACGGTCAAAGGCAAGACGCGACGTTCGATGTCGAATGCACCACATTCCATGTTAATGACCATTTCTGAAGTCTTGTCACCAGTCCATTTCTTGACCTTGCTCATGTCTTCATAGTAAGAAGCGTTGAAACCGGTACCCAAAATGACACCCATGGTAGTGTTGGGGTGCTTGTAAGCATAAGCCATCAATGTACCAACAGTATCATTGACAATCTATCGTCTCTCTATCAGTCTATTGTTTTTTCTTTCTTTAGATACTTACAGCAGCAATGTTGACATTAAGGTTCTTACGACGGAAAGAGTCTTGAAGGAGGATAGTGACGTCCTTACCAACAGCACCAGAACAGTTGAAACCCTTTGTCCATTGCTTAAGCACACCGCGGTTAATAGAGGTTTGGAGGACAGGGAAAGAGAAGGTGTAACCCAATTGAATGACTTCATGACTAGCACTTGAACCGTGTTCGGTCAAGAAGCTATCAACACAATCAGCAATGAAATCACAAAGGTGGCGCATAGGACCAGTCTTCAATTCTTCAGAAATAACGTATTTTTGTTGGTGAATAGTATGTTCACCACCACCCAACAAGGTAACTTGACAGACACGTAAATTGGTACCACCCAAATCAAGAGCCATAAAAGTACCCTTTTCTTCACCAGTACAACGACCAGCAACAAAAGAAGGAATCATGGCGACTATGTTAGGTCAATTTCGAGTCATCTAAACATGGTTATACTTTACTTGTGGCGCCTTGATGATCTAAACCCTTCTCCATTTCAATCACGAATTGATCAGTAATAGTCCTAAGGGTTTCAGTCGTGACCTTGAAACGATCAAAGACGACTTGAGCAGCAGCAGCTTGAGCTTCGGCAGAGTTATTGACAGGAGCCATTTTAAAGTTTAGGAAAAAAGGGAAAAGAAAACCAGAGAAAGAAAAAAGAAATCCTATTTATACAAGTGGAAAAAAAAAGGTGACTTTTTCATTATTTGAGACAACATTCCCGGTGATCCAATCTATTTTTTGCAAAACGCGGGTAAAATTGTAAATGGGAAAAATTCGTCCAAGGTTTTCCCTTTTTTCACTTGCAAGACATGATTTCCATCTTGCAGTTTTCTCAACAATTTTTTAGTCATTTACTTTCTTATCATTCTAAGGTTTTCTTTTTTTTGTACTAAAATAGTTTTTTTCTGTATTTTGTTTCTCAGGCATCCACCTCTACTGCTTTTTTTTCGTGGTTTACATTCCGAAAGAAAATGATTCGCTTAAAAGCCTCATTTGAGTTTCTACAGAGGAACATTTTGCTCAAATAAACTGTTTCTAATTCGTCCATTGACAATAAATAAACAGCTTATTTCTCTTTTCCTATAACACATTTGATTCTCGGACAAAACATGTTCATATAAACGTTTCTGTTGAATAAACAGAGTGTTTACTCACCAAAGCAATCACGTGATTCATTCGTTTGTCTTCAAATTAATTTATATGTCCATGAGCCTATAAATAGTCTGCTGCATTCTCTGTTATGGACACAGTAGAGGATGGGAGTGTTTGACAATAACGGTGTGATGTTATTTCGGTATTTCAATATCAAATCTGCATTATTTCATGCGTTAAATTCGTACATTTGAGGTAGGACATGCAAAAATTGATAAAATATAGGAGAGCTTCATCTCTTTTGCTACTTTGTACTATGTCAAACCAAGAGAAAAGTGTTTGTAAAAAAAAGACAAGACTTACTGTCATCCTATTTCTTACCCGAGGCATCTAGTCATTTTGACCAAACCAAATGATAACCAATCAAATCAAAAGTAGATTTTTTTTAATTACATTTCATCTTTAAAACTTTTTTTCTTCTCTCTCTTTTTTTTTGCGTTATTACTATTATGAGTCAGTTTCTTCTTAGGAATCTAGCATTTGGAGTATCCATCAGAAGGTTTTATTCAAGCAAAACTTTGATTCAGTTGGAAAACGCGCAGGTGCATCGGTTTGGTGTAAAAGAACCTGCTTTCAAAAATCTCTCCTTAACTATCAAGGATAATGAACGCCTTGTCATTGTGGGCCCCGTGAGTGCCGGCAAAACAACTTTAGCTGAAGTAAGCAAAAGCAAATAACAAAGCGCAGGTATTCAATCAATCTTATAGACAATCGCCGGTCGACATTCTATTCAACCTTTGTCCGCTGGTAAATGGCCAATTATTGATCCATCTGTGTCACCTTATGCATCTGATCATGTTCACCTTGTCGATTTCAAAGAAAATGCATCATTTTCTTACAGTAACCATTACTACCAGGAAAGATTTAATTTCAGGTACACCAGAAAGAGGCGTTCCATTTATCTCATGTTCTTACCGCATTTTTCAAAGCGATCCCGACAATGACTTGACTTTGCATGATTATCTTGGAGAGTATGACCCAGAGAAAGTGAAAGAAGTAGCTAAGCAGCTAAATATTGAGCATTTATTACCCCTCTCTTTTGTCAAATTGTCAAATGGTCAAACTCGACGTGCACGTATTGCAAGAGCATTGCTCAAAAGTCCTTCCATGCTTGTTTTGGATGAACCCCTAAGTAATGTACTACTCTTGATTTTCCCGTTTGAACTCACGCATGTTAAATAGTGGGGTTGGATGTGGAACACCGCCAACATTTGCTCCAAGTATTAGGTAATCTGACTGAAAGGTCATCTGTTCCTGTCGTTTTGGTATTAAGACCTCAAGATGAATTCCCTTCTTGGGCCACTGAGGTCATTGAACTCAAAGACATGACTATCCATTGGCAAGGGAAACCAGAAGATTACCAAGAAAGAATAGAAGCCATGCAACAGCAAAAGCGTCAACGCATTCGTCCACCATTAGTGGATACAAGTCAAAACAAACCTATTGTTGAAATGAAAAATGTCAAGGTGACTTATAGTGGTAATCCCATCCTTCGTGATATTACCTGGACTGTTCGTCAGGGTGAACGTTGGGCTTTGTTGGGGCCTAATGGGTCGGGAAAGACAACGCTTTTGTCCTTCTTAACAGGCGATCATCCACAAGCTTATGCCAATGAGCTGTCTTTGTTTGGTCGTCGTCGTGGTACAGGCGAATCCATCTGGGAAATCAAGGAAAGAGTAGGATTGGTGAGTCCTGAAATTCATTTGTATTTCAACCAGCAGTTGACTGCTCTGGAAGCAGCTGGCACAGGCTTTTTTGATGTGGTTGTTCCCCGTCCAATAAACGAGACACAGACGGCAACAATCAAGCAATTGTTTCATGAGTTTGGAATAGAGACCATGTTGGATCGTAAGTTACGGGATATGTCTACCGGTGAACAGCGTATGGTTTTGCTTGTTCGTTCTTTGGTAGGTGCAACAACATGTCTTTTTTTTTTCTTATATGTCTAGGTAAAAATGCCTGACTTGATCATTTGGGATGAGCCTTTTCAATCTTTGGATAACAAAATGATTCAAAATGTCAATGAATGGCTAGAGAAGCATATGAGACCTGATCAAACACTAATCATGGTCACTCACCATGAAGACGAAATACCTCTTGCTGTTACAAAACGATTCAAGCTTGGTCCTGGTGGTGTCCAAGTCAATTAAGGTATACATACATTTATTATACATAGAGAGTCTAGAGAAGATTATATACAAATTATAATGATGGTTGAGATAGCTTGTAACGTTTATGCCGTTCTTTCAATTGTTCCAACACAATAAATGTCACGATTGTATGTGGGCCTAGTCTTACAAAAGCAGGCATCCAGCCACGGAAAAGAGACCCAACGCCTTCTGTCTTTATCATATGAACCATGATTCGAATTGGATGTTTTCCATCATGTATATGTGCACTCATGATACGTGTCTTAACAACATCTAAAGGGGAGCAGACAGTAGTTGCTACAAGGCCCTAACATAATGAGTTACGTAAAGACCAAAGTACGATCAACTTACTGCTAGTAAACTTGAAGCAAAATGAACCATAAGACCATCACGGTATGCAAGTGTATCAACAAAGAGTTGCTTAAACATGTCATAACTTGACATTTGAGAGACAGTGATTAAGATAGCTCTGTGTGTACTTGAGCCAATGCCTCTTAACAAGACACGAGGCCCTTCTTCACGACTGATTCTTATCATTCCATCAATAACATTCTTGTAGTTTCGTCTCTGATTAGGTGGCAATTGACCATCGTTTTGCATACGTACATTGACTACATCACTAGGGTTGCCAAATGCACCACCTAATGCCCCAGCCATGGTTGAACAAAAGATCAATTGACGTACTGTAGGCTCTAGAATACTGTATTAACATGTAGAAATCATGCTGATTTCTTACTTTGATCGCCAGCAACAGACCATTTAAATTGATCATACAAGCCAAAGCGTATAGTTGAATATGTACCCTGTCTCAACAGACTTGCAGAAAGCCCACTATACAAAGCTGTCAAACCTTCTGTTCTTGTGATAGTCCACATAGTCTTGAACATTCGAGTGGGACTCAACAGCTTAAATTCTGACCATACAGACGTGTATTCAACTTTAAGTGTTTGAAGCCTGACTTTGGTGAGATCAAAAGGGTGGGATACAAAGGTAGCTAAACAAGAAGCAGCACCTCCGAACCAGAAAGGTGACTGAATAGACGTTTTGTTTCTCATTGTCGGCGCTGTCACAGCTGTGTTATTATTATGTGTGGCCATGAACATGGTGATAACAAAACAACAAAAGGCGGAATTTTTACTTTTTTGATGTCAGGTATGTTGGGTGTCCCGGGGGGGGGGGGATTTAAATTGTTCAGTCACGTCGTTCCTGAAGTGATGGTTCATGGTTTTTTATCGCCTAATATATATAGTAGCTCACTACAAATGTATTGATTCCTTTCCACTGAATACCAGGTTGTGATCAAAATTAATTGTCTGACCAACTTTAGCATCTGAAATAGCAATACAAGAAGTCAATAATAATGACAAAATAAGAATAGCTATATTAATAAAAAAAAAGAAATAAAAAATGCAGGTGAACATTTGCTTCAACAGTAAAAAAAAAAAAAAAAGACGACAATTCATACAGATTTTGTTCTTTTTTCCAGACATACAAAGGTAGTATAAACCTTTTTCTGTACACACAAATGCTCTAAATGTGTACAATACATGTTCAATAGCATCCATGGTACTTTTGGAATTGATTTAGGCAAAAAAAAACAACTTGTAAAAAATGGTCAAAATGACCTTTTGAGCAAAGGGTATTACCCATGAAAAAGCTCGTTTGACAACTCTCAATCTTCTTTTTGACGCTTCAAGACAAAAAATAGAGCTATCGACAAGCATAAATACTCGAAACGTGCATCAGAGGCTCTAGTTTTTGGTAAATGTGTTTGCTAAACAGTTGTGCTATAGGTCTGATCCAACCGAAATAAGCCAAGGTCATCTTTAGGTATTTTTGAGGAAAAGAAAACGAGTTTACCAAGATGAAAAAGGCGACTTAATTTGAGTATTGCCTTCAAATCTCCATTCAAAGTTTATTGTACACTGTTATCAGTATAAAAGAGGCTCTTTAATAGACATTAATAAGTAAGTGCGTACTTAATTATGTATCATTCAATACACAAAACGCACTCTAGTAGGATTTGCTATAGTACATGGCACTCTTGAGACTAAAGTATAACTAATGATGGATGTCTTGTTCCGTATTTCAAACCCAATTTTCTTTTTCTAGTATGTATTCGCTGCTTTTGAATATCATTTCTTTTTTATTGACATTCACAAACCATAATCGCGTTTTGATCCAGTTGTTACAAAGACTAGACAACAGATTCACAAAAGCAAAACGTAATGGCATAGTACAATCAAAGCAACATCGCTGTAGTTCAATAAGTGAACTGTACTCTGATCAACTCGCACTAACAATAAAAGACAACAATAAAGCAACAGAGGTGAGTGGATAAAGCAGTTATACAAGTGGATTCAACCCATTACTTTTATTTAAGACTGTTTTTGCCAATAACTAAAGATGAATAGACAATGCGCAAGCACAAGATCTAGTCAACTACAAGCACTGACTGTAAAACAAGAAAAAGACAACTATTACTTACATTAAAGACACCAGACAAAACCTTCTTCAGTCCAAGAAAAGAAAAACAACATAAACGAAGAAATGCACCTACTTTTTCAACAGTTAAACCACAACACAACAAAAAAGAAAAGAAAAGTAGAGATGGGAAGGAGGGGGGACACGCTAGTAAAAAACAAAAAGGAATTTGGTATACACAGCACAAACATATTGTGGATTTGATTAGGATGATCAAGCCTAACCAAACCCTCTTCTTGCCTGCACAAGAGCTGATCAGACTCTCAAACAGACAAGGCTGAAGAAAGCAGACGGCATTGCGAAGATCTGTTGAGTCCTTCAATGGATACCTTGAAACGCTTGAAAGAACCAGAATCAAAGGGAGACAGTCTTGCACCAGTAACACACCATGATGACCAACCTTGGAGACGCCTTAGACACCACCATAAGTAGAGTATACCTAGGGATCTTGAGCTTGCTAACCATAACAGGGTAGAACCAGGGAGAGAGTCAGTCTTGGACCAGTAACAGACCTTGATGACCAGCCTTGCAAACACCTAAACAAAAGGACTTTAGTGTATTATACTTTTAATACCATTGGAAGATACTTACTAGATATCCACTGAGCCATGAGAGCCATTTTTGATTGACCTTGAGACTTGCTGAGTAACCTTGGAGACACCTGAGAGAAAGCCTTGTCGATAGAGAAACACCAGTTTCAGCCTAGAAAGTGGCACCATGCCTTCTTTTTTCCCTTTGTGTATACAAGTACCCCGAAGTACAAGTATTTGCAGTAGTTTGAGCAAGCTGACCAGACTTGAACAAATGCATCTCTTTTCTGAACAAGAGCTAATCACTCTCTTGAACAGAATATTAGGCAACGCTAAACCCAATCTTGAGACAAAAGATAGCTAGTCTTCTGTCTTTGTATGTATGAATGCTACTGCGCATTCTTTTTTTCCCTTTGTGTATACAAGTACCCCGAAGTACAAGTATTTGCAGTAGTTTGAACAAGCTGACCAGACTTGAACAAATAGATTTCTTTTTCTGAACAAGAGCTAATCACTCTCTTGAACAGAGTATCAGGCAACGCTAAACCCAATCTTGAGACAAAAGATGGCTAGTCTTCTGTCTTTGTATGCATGAATGCTACTATAGAAGGCGGACACTACGCATTCTTTTTTCCCTTTGTGTATACAAGTACCCCGGAGTACAAGTATCTATATATTGAGAATCAGTAAACCCAAAAACCTGATCTCTGCAGCCAATTAGTACGTACGTGTATAAACAATCGCTATTGTCCCCAGCTTTTGGTTACACAGGTCTTAGTACAACGTCATATCCAAACAGCGCCAAAAAAGCAAAACACTGAACAGATACAGCTACACGGCTGGAAGGTAGCACTCTTTTAGTTCCATAGGTTAGCTAGACAAGAGTTTGGTTACCCTGAGCAATATGGTCTTTATTTTGACAACAATGTAAAAATAAAAGACAAGGGTTTGAAAAAGAAAAAATTTTTTCTGGAAATAAAAATACCATATTCGAAGTCAGGTGGCTTAGCCAATCAATCTGTTGCCTTGGCTACTTTAAGAGATTGGCCACTTTAAGAGATGCATGAACAAATGGCCTTTGTGTTATTTTCTTATTAGATGCATTATAAAGTTGCTTGTTGTACACCAAATGATAGCAAGAAACTTAGGGTTATGCATGCATAAGTAAGCAGATTGAGCCTTCTAACAGGTATAAAGTTGCATATATGGATAGATAGAATCTATAAGAAAAATATAAAGGTGTTAAAAGTGATGAACAAATCTATCAAATTAAAAGCCTGACAAGTTCTATGAAAAAAGAAAAAAAAAAGAAAAAAAAAGACGTCTTTTGCTTTGATTCTATGTTTATTCCAAAGATTGGATGTACTTTGTTTTTCTCTTTTGTAGTAGTATTGTCATCATTAGTAGTAGATATATCGCGGTCTATAGTTTTTACTTACTTTACCCAAGCCCTTTGGAGAACGCTTATGCATATATATATATATATATATATATATGTTGATACTTGTTCTACTGATATCCTTTGACTCACTATTCGCATGTTAAATCACACAAAGCTAAGGCTTACTTTTAATGTGAATTGGTTGAAAAGTATAGTAATATCAATAATGTTTCATTAGGAAGTCTCAGTCCAGAGATCTCTGTCTATACAAACATACGCAAAAGTGGGTGAGCATTAATTTAGAAACGGAGAATCAAAGAGTGTTTATCAGCATAAAAGAAGATACATGGTCCATTACTGCCCATCTCTTTTTCTTTATCTGCATTTGCTCCTTTTTCCTCCCCCTCCCCCCACTTTTTCAATTGCTCTCATGGATTAGAGTTAACTTTAATTTTTTTTTCTTATAAAATAGCATGTTGAGAGTACAATAAAGAACGAATCTTGTAATAATCTACAGACAATGCACCTTCCACTAATAATTGGCCTGTGCCCGTCTATAGATATAAATGAGTCTCTGATTGTCTGAGATACAAACACATTACCTTTCGAACAGCTACTTGATCATTACAGACAAGAATACCCTCTCCTTTAAATTCAGCTTGAATACCTTCTGCTTGTAAGACTTTTCTGAATTCAGATAGACGAACATCACCCACAAACACAGAAGGTTCAAACTTGATATCTTCTTCTTCTGCAGAAGCAACATCAAGAGAAGGCGTTGTGGAGTCATCAGGGAAATGAATACGACCAACCACCCGTGCCAGTTCATAATCATCCAGCTATTGTCATTGATCAGTAACATGTCTTTTTTTTTTGTGGACTTGCCTTGGAGAACCGAAGTGAGCTGACCATGCTATCTGTTAGTTTGATGCGGTAGATATTGGTAGCAGCAGATACGTTCAAGACTTCGCTCACAGAAGGTGTAAAGATTTCCTTTGTAAAATGGTCTGTGCCTTGGAAAGCATTGGCAAGGTCTTCTGTAGATGCTTTTGAACCATGAACGATGATCTATTCAATGTACATGAGAAACTGGATTGTTAGTCTGTTCAATAAATACCAGTTTTCGAGGAGCAATTTGTGGTAAAATGGTCTTCATGGATCGACCATCTGAAAGACCTTCTAAATCTACATATCTTAATACACATTGCACTTGCAATTTTTCGTTTGTTGAGGTATATTTGGTAGGCGATTCATCTCTTCCTGGCAGTAATGGTTCATCAATATCGAGCATCATTTCCTAAATACATACAGAATAAGCTACCATAGTAATGTGTACTATAGAAGCTTACATCTTCTTTAGCAAAATTGGCTCCTTCATCTAGATTTTTTTTCTCTTGCTCTATTCTCTCAAAATCTGATGCCTTCATATAATGCTCCACTTGAATAGCTTCACCATAATCATCAATCTTTTTACGCTTCTCAAGATAGGGAAACATGCGATAACTCTGTGTCTGTTTAAAGAAACCTCCTGATTTACCAGCATCACGCACATAAAGGTCAAATTGCTTGGTCAGTAAATCTTCCATGTTATCATCCCCATCATCCAAGTCAGAAGAATCAGACTCATCATCTTCCATGATGGTCTTGCTTCGTGCAATCATGGCTGCTTGAGCTGCATCTCTTTCTGCTTTAGCTCGTTGGTTGGCTTCAAATGCCATCAATTCAGCCCCTTCAAGAGGCACTCGCTTATACACCGTCAGGTCCAACGTGGTATGGTATTCGATGGCTGGCTGAACAGGTGTCTTGTGGCGATGTGGAGTGACTTGGGTGGCACTTGTCTGTTGATTCCAATCATCATACAAGTGGCGTGCTAATGAACCAGGCCCTGATCTGTCAGTCAAGATCAGTGTGTTGTGTTGTATGCTTTGGATGCCTACAGGCAATGTCATCCATTGAATAAACAAGTCACGAGCAAAACCTGTTTCTAGACTATGATGGCTGGCAATGACCACTTTAGGTCCTGGGTGAAGATCAAGGTCTTGTATCTTGTGACACAGTCGAAGGTATTTGAACTCATAAGGATTCTCTCTTGTTTGTGAAAAGTGTTTGGTGAATTCTTCTCCCATCCATTCCAACATACTTTTGGCAAAATGAGCTGTATGATAACTTGTGTTGGACAGCATAATCAATGGATAATTGTATTGATGTTGTGTCCAGTATTGGTCGAGTAAATAAGAAAGTTCAAGCACACGGGCTGAAGAGTCTGTAGGTAAGAGTACAGAACCGCCTTGTTTTAAAGATTGAAGCATGGTATCTATACACAGACCGTAAGTATATAAATGGAGATCTAAATGGCTTACCAAACATAGCGGCATATCTGTCTTTTCTGGCTGGATGCACAACTTGTGAATTATAGGCATCTGTGATCAATAAGGAAGGACGTACAAGGGCATCCAATACAACACCACCTGAATGCAATACAGTTCCATCTAAATGATGTTCTTTTCTATGATTGAAATCAACTGCATAGACTATTTCCTCTGTATCTTGTTTGATTTTCCATATTGTACCACCAATCGTATGTGCTGCTGCATAAGCTGTAATGGTAATACCTTGACATTTGCCTAAATAGAAATAAGTCGTCGGCAAACAACAAGTTTAAGCTATACCAGTTAAAGAGAAGGGTTGTGAATATCGAAGGGGCGTAATTTTATCAAATGCATTATCGACATCTTCTAAACTAAACGCTTCAAACTCCATTTCATTGGTCTTGGATTGATACATATCATACATGCACATCTTGCCCATGTTGGCCACAGGAATCGTGGAATAGACAGGACAAGTCATGCCAAGATGACTACGGGCATAAGGATAAGCACCCAAATGAGATAGATCTGAATGGGATATCACAAGTGCGTCAATCTGCTTTGCTACTCTATAGAGTGAATGAGTCCATGAACGCGAATTGAAATGATTACTTTTTCAAATTGGCTAAATCATCGACATGAAACGTATCTGACCATCCACAGTCCAATAAGATCTTAACTTCATCAATTTCTAATAAATAACATAAAGGATCTTCATTTTTGGCACCTGAAATGGGTGTGAACTTGATATAACTTGTCATTACCAAAGACAAAAGACGAAAAATACAAAAAGAAAAAAAGCCGTGCCCTTTTTTTCAGAATGTGACCGTACTAGCGTGTATTTTTTTAAAGCCATACCCTGTGCATGAATTCTTTTTTTTTTATCTTTTTATCATGTCAGAAAACAAACATAAAGAAGAGGAAGAAGAAGAAGAAGAAGAACCCTATAATGCAAGAATAAAAAAAACTGGTTGCTTTGAAGAGAATGAAGCACTTCAATTATGCTTTTATGATACAAAAGATTGGCGTCAATGCCAAGAAGAAATGAAGGCTTTTCGAGATTGTTTTACTAGAAACGCAAATAATGCAGGCAGTAAAGAACTTGTTGCATCCAGAAAATAAAAAAAAAAAGTGTCATTTATTCACATTTTAGACTTGCTTCTCTAACCTGCGCATTATCTAACAAAGACAATGACTGGAGTTGTGTATAGAGATCATGCTGGATTTTGAATTTATAAGTTCGGGAAAGGACTTGGAAAGCCAAAACATGTTTCACTACAGAAGCAGTGATACGAAACTTGTTGTAATTGACTAAATGATGGTTTAGTCTTTCGCATAACTGGTTATCTCGAATATTATCATGATTGTCTGAGCAACTGGATTGAATAAAAGTAGGAAGTTCGGCCACAAATACCAAGTCAGATAAATATAAGCCTATCGTATTAACATGTCAGCATAGGGTGTCTATTCATAGCTTATACATTACCGAGAAAAGGAATACAGCCTTGTTTGTGATCCAATGTGGTTTGACTCTTGGTCAAGACACTTTCGACAGCAAAAGATTCAGCAATCTCTTCAACAGCTTCTGTCATGCAATCCCTTACGTTCTTCCAGTTTCGAAATGGCTTGGCCATTTCTTTCAGTTGGTTAAATAGCTCGATTTCGCAATGATTTACTTTTTGCCATGTCTTTTCTAACCGAGAAACAGCAGGTGATTGTAGACCTAACAAGATTTGCATCATAGTACTATAATTCCTGTGCTGATAGCATTTCAGTGCAATCCGAATAAATTTTTCAATCACTTTGATGCGAATATCTGATTGTTGAGAGCGTACAATTTCTGAAGCCACCCATTGACAAATCTATGATAAATAAATGCGTTCAATAACATGTCTTGTCATTCTATAGGTACTTGCCGTATTGAAATAAGCAATCATTTGATCTACTCCGTCTGATTCTTGACTTAGTGTGGCCATATCAATCACAAATGATTGTCGTTTAGAAGATCGTTTTCGCCATCTTAATTCAACCAATTCATCCCAAGTCACGTTTTGTAACATGACCTGTTCAATCAGACAAAACTGTTGAGCCATGATTTCAGATCGATACTGAAGTATAATGGATTTATAGCCTGTTGTCACAGTCGAACTCGGTTGTGAAGGTGTGAGATAGGCCAATAACCGAGTATGTTTACTATCGTCTTCCCAAGTCTTTCGAATCGAATGTCTCATTTTAGATGTCCATTTAGGCACAGGCACAGTGGATATACTGATAGCACTGTCTTTTCGGTGTGTTTCTGAGTAGTGTTTCCGTTGTCTCTTGAATACTGTCCTTAAGTTCTTGATGATACGTTCATCTCTGGGTGAGGCGAGAATCAGTGGGTGTGTCTGTAACTGAGTTAAGAAAGTCGACAGCATGAACCGAAGTGTCCTTGACCCGAGAAAATCAAATGTCCAGTAATGAGTCAACCAATGACGAATCACAACAAAAGTTCTTGATTCAAGGAGTTGATTTCGAGTACCAATATCAATTTACACTTACCTTATTCGTATTAATCGACGCTGATCTGTATCTTCCAACAAGGCCCACCGAAACCTTAAAATCAATAGTTTGCATAATTTAATAGGCGTCAGAAATTGCCTGAACACAAGAAAGAAATCCATCAAGAATTCATTGTCTACACAATGAGTAAAAGAAGTCGATGGCATGCTTTGATTACCTATCTCTCGCGTGAGTTTCTCGATCAATTTCTCGACAAGAGCAGAAGTCACTGTACGGTCTGATTTACCATAATGAATACAGCAATCATTATCGATGGATAATAAATCAAAGATATGAGGATCATTCTCAATGGGTGGAGATGGTTCTGTCTTGGATTGAAATAAGTTCATGACAGGTACATGCGTACTAAAACCTATATGAGGAATGTAATCAAAGAAGAGGAGAGCTTACTGTTCAGGTTGTTTTCTTGTCACAGTCACCCAGCCATAGATAGTTGCCATACGCATGTATTCTGTTGTGTTTAATTCACGTAAACTATGCCTTTTGATCAATGTCACTACGGGTGAACTTGTGTTTTGGTAGCATGAAAGACGGTTTTCTTTAAGCTTAATATCGTCCAATGATTTAGAGCGCCTCCTATATATCTCTTATTTAGCTTTTTTTTTTTTTTTTTACTTGGTGGGCTTACTTTTCAGGTTTCATCAATTAGAGAAAGAGAGAGAGAGGAAAGAGAGAGAGAGAGAGAGAGAGAGAGAGAGAGAGAGAAAGGGCATTGTTAATTGTTTGTTTATTGTGACGTTTATAAACAGGAGTTTTTGTTTAGATTCATTTCCCTTTTTATTCTTTTTTTTTTTTTTTATTATATCCTCCCTTTTTTTTTTTTACTAGATGACACTCGAGCCTTCCCCATTTCGGATAAGAAAGTCCATAAGAGAACTTGTGCATAAACCACGAATAAATAAGTCTCAAAAGCATTCTGTTGTCTTACCAGCACTTCCTCCTCATGACCCAAAGACGGAAGAATATGCCTATGACGTTCTTTATGAATGTCAAAGAGGGTATGTGTGTGTGTGTGTGTAACTCTATCATGATGGACTCATGTATCTATCTCTAGATCATTAGCAGTAGGCTATAGTTCAAAGACGTAAGTTCTAAGCATAACACTCATCCATGGCCTGATGAACATAACTTATAGTCTATTACAATTCGACCCTAATCCATGGTGTGATGCAGATATGAGGTAAGATTCAATGGCATTGTAGATGGCTCTATTGATCGCTTCTATTTAGATTTACACCCATGAATATCGAGAATTATCAATTACCAGATCCTACATGGGAATGGGTAAGATACACAGAAGACATAGACCTATAGACTTAGTTGTGTAGATTAGTAAGGATTGGATGATTGACATGACTGAAGATGTGGATGAAGCAGGATGGCAATATGCACTTAAATTTCATGGTGCAGTGTGGCATGGTAAATAGGGATTATCTGATAGACCAATGACTGATTTAGATAAAAAGGGAACTACAAGCATTTTCGATCCTTTGTGAGAAGAAGAAGATGGATCAGATTAAGACATCGATGGATATCATCCAATCCAACGGAAACCATAACAACTACTACCAGTACCATAACAACTACTACCAGTACCATAACAACTACTACCAGTACCATAACAACTACTACCAGTACCATAGCAACAAGTCATTTAAATATCATCAGTCGATTAAAAGCATGTCGACTTGATAGAGAAAGAATGGCTCTATTGAATGAAGTTATGCAATCCACATTACCTGATTTAGAAGACACTGTGCTAGAAAAGGTAGTCATACATACACTGTCATTATCTTACTTAATATTAGGCACCTGAGTATATGGACACATTTGATTATGAAGATACTAAATTCAAATTTATTTCCTCACTATTACAAAGAAAATATGGTGGTTCGACTCAACCTGAACTTACGCCACAGGAAAAAAAAGCATTACAATCACTACGATTTTATTGTGATCTCCAATCTATTTTTAAGCAGTTGTAAATAAATATTTTTTTTTCTTTTGTTCTATTATGACAAGACCTATTGTTATCAATTATGAAGGTTCAGATATGGACGTGTCTTCTGACGATGAACTTCAAGTAAGTGAACCGTATCTAAACAGAGAAAGACATACTCATGACTTTAGTTGCCTCATGAAAACATGGTTCAACAATTAAGACACCACATTCAACAACAAGAACGACATCAAACACCTATTCAACCCCATGTAGAAACGTTCTTACCACGAAAACCTATTGCGATTGATGACTCAGACACGGAATCTGTCGATTCATTCAAGACCGCACCAGACACGCTACCTGATGAACCCATAGAAGTAATGACTCATGACTTGGAACGCCAGTTAAGAGATCTAGAAGAACAACTACGCAAGAAACGCATAGAAGGAGACTTTCTTCAAAAGCAACTCCAGGACAAAAAAGCAGAGAGAGAAGCCCTTCGGATTAAGCGACTCGAGAAAAGTGTACGCAACTCAATTCGACTGAGAAAAAAGCAACCTCTCAAGAGTATCTTGGTCACTGACACAAAGAAGAAAAAGGGTAAAGAAAAAGATATGGGCCATAGTTTATTGGCACTTGCTCAGACTGAGAAGCCATTATCTCGTTCTTATCAAAAACAATATGCCAACTTTGACCCTCAAAATTTAACAAGTGATGTCTTGATCAAGGATGAAATCAAACGACGCGAACGTATTAAAAAAGACGAACAATCATCTGAACAAAATCCAACAGAACAAAATAAAGAACTTACTGAACACAAGCCAGTGAAGCAAGAAGAAAAAAACCATAAAGAAAAATCGACCAAGAAACAAAAAGTCATGCCAGCTATCAAACAGAGTGAAGTTAGAAAGAAAATCTTGGAATCATTTCAATTAAGCAAAATCACACCAAGACAAATGAAAATTCAATTGTGTGATTTATGGGAATATGCAAAAAATCATAAGCTATCATTGTTCCAGGAAGTCAATGCACGAGAATTGCGCAAAAAGCTTATACGTCGCCTGGACCAAGATGAGAACATGCCTGCCATCGTTCAACTCAAAAAGGGACGCAAGTATACTCCCACTAAACATTTGCTCTTAGGCCCTGAATATTATGGTCATCCAGATATGTTGGACTACGACACATTTGATTTAACACAATACGATATTTACCGTGTGATTGAGGACTTTGCTTACTTGTCACCCAAATCCAAGCAAAGCACAAAATCTCTTGAAGAAGAAGAACCCAAAGAGAGCACAACTCAAGGTAAGCCTCAGTTACTTTCCCTTTTTGATACCCAAATGTGACTTTCTAAACAGATAACAAGCGAGCGAGGCCAGAAGAAACACAAGGTAAAAATGTACAGACTAAATCAAATACTTACCGATATATATAGACCTCAAGAAGCCTAAATTGATTGCAACACCACCACCTCCAAAAAAGCAGAAAAAGAAACAAAAAACAAAAGGATCGTCTTTTGCCCCATTGTATGCACCTGCACCACCTATACACCAACCCTTTGTTCCGCCCTTTATATTACCCATGGATGGCTCATTTAATCAAGGTTTCTTGCCCCAATCAACCGAGAGACCCTATGTACCAGCCGTGCTTCCTAATCGATTACCTTTACGATCTCAAACTATTTCACCTGCTATTATTTCTCAACAAGTGCCTCCTCAGCAAGTGCCTTCTCAACAGGTGCCTCCTCAACAGGTGCCTCCCCAACGGGTGCCTCCTCAGCAAATATCTTCACCTTTTCCAATGGCAGAGTCATCAAACAAGAAACAAGAACCCAAAAAGCATGAATCTAAGCATGACATGAAAAAGAAATATGAACCCAGGTATTATATGAAAAAGAAACAAATATCACCTGAGCGTATGATTCAAATCATTGATTCTGTTGAAGAACAAGACCCTGTGAACAAATCAAACAGGCAAACATCTGTAAACCATTCGAATGACCAAACACCTGCAAAAGAATCTACTTCTAAACCATCATTTACACCCTATCAATCTGTTGTAAGTGCCTTGGGCGTCTCTAGCATCGTACGTGAATTAGCACAGTCCAAGGAGAATCTATTGAAAGAGGCAACGAAACCCATACCCAATCATGTTGATACACAACCAGCACCTTCTCAGCCAGCTAAGCGAACTGAATTATGCAATGCTGAAAGTGCAGGTGGTGTTTGTCGTGTTCGTAACTGTCCTTTTGTTCATTTTAGTGACTTTCAATCATAATAAAAATAGATAGCATGAATTCTATAATTATGAAAATGACCATTTCAGAATTGTCAACATAATGCGACATTTCTTAAAAGGGTTATTATTATTGGCCCATCTCATCTATAAAAAAATACAGGCTATAATTTGATGTGATTTTTGTACCACAACCTTTCTTTTCCTCTATCTTTTTTCCACCATGGGTAACCTTATATTGACAGCACCTTGTTTGTTCACTCACAATGGATTGTATAGTTGTAGATACATTTGAATACCTTGAAAAAACCTTGAAGGAACGTATTATGTTTCTAGACGGCGCTATGGGTACCATGGTTCAGCGCTTAAAACTTCAAGAATCCGACTTTCGAGGTAGAGAACAGAAAAAAAACGAAAGAGATTAATTGTGTGTTAGGTACGGAATTTCTGAATTGGTCTAAAGATCTCAGAGGCAATAATGATTTATTGACCTTAACCAAACCCGACGCAATTTATACCATTCATCGCCAATACCTTGAAGCAGGAGCAGATATGATTGAGACCAACACATTTAGTTCAACCTCAATTGCTCAATTGGATTATGCCTTAGAGAATTATGCATATAGACTCAACAAAGAAGGAGCTGTATTGGCCAAACGAGCTTGTGAAGATGTAAATAATACAAGTACCTATAGACACTAATGATTTAGGTTGCAAAAGAGACGGGTGTGCCTCGTTTTGTATGTGGCGCCATTGGCCCAACCAACCGTACATGTTCTATTTCGCCCTCAGTTGAAAATCCAGCTTATCGAAATGTCACATTTGATGAACTAGTCATTGCCTATGCAGAACAAGTGCGTGGATTATTAGATGGTGGTGCTGATATCTTATTAGTGGAAACAATTTTCGATACATTAAATGCAAAAGCTGCTTTGTTTGCTATTGACCTTGTGTTTGAAGAAGACCAGTAAGTGAATTAAGGCTACATATCTATGCTCATACAACACCATATGTTAATAGAAGACCCAAAGTGCCTTTGTTTATTTCAGGTACGATTGTAGATCAAAGTGGTCGTACATTATCAGGTCAGACAGGTGAAGCATTTGTAACCTCATTGAACCATGCTAAACCCGTTGCTTTTGGCTTGAATTGTGCTTTGGGTGCTGAACAAATGAAGCCATTTGTTCAAAACATCAGTCGATTTACAGATGCTCATATTATCTGCTACCCTAATGCTGTAATAATGTCTAGAGTGCCTATTGTACATAGCTCATATCTATTCTATAGGGTTTACCTAATGCCATGGGTGAGTATGACGAAAGCCCTGAAGCGATGGCCAAGAATGTGGAGCCATTTGCCAAAGAAGGCCTTGTTACCATTGTTGGTGGTTGTTGTGGTACAACACCTGAGCACATTAAGGTAATATTTACTATCTTTAAGCCAACCTCATCTCATGTTTGTTATTAGGCTGTTGCTGAAGCTTGTAGTAAATACAGTCCTCGTGTCAAGCCTCCTTCTAAATCCAATGTAATGCTGCTCTCTGGTCTTGAAGTCTTGCGAGTGGATGAAACCACAGGCTTCGTCAATGTCGGTGAACGTTGTAACGTAGCTGGCTCTCGCAAGTTCTGTCGTCATATCCTTAAAAACGAATATGAAGAAGCACTGGCCATTGCCCGCGCTCAAGTAGAGAACGGTGCTCAAGTGGTGGACGTCAATTTTGATGAAGGTCTCTTGGACGGTAAAGCAGCCATGACCAAGTTTTTGAACATGTTGGCTTCTGATCCTGATTGTGCTCGTGTGCCTTTGATGGTCGATTCTTCCAATTTTGCTGTGATTGAAGCAGGTCTTCGATGTGCTCAAGGCAAATGTATTGTCAACTCCATTTCTTTAAAGGAAGGTGAAGAAGAATTTATCAAGAAAGCCAAGATTATCAAACGATTTGGTGCTGCTGTAGTTGTGATGGCTGTAAAGTATTTCGTACCATGTATTGTCATATTAATCCCTATGGATAGTTTGATGAAGTAGGTCAAGCTGCTGAAGCAGACCGAAAGATTGAGATCTGTACTCGTTCCTATCGTATTCTAGTGGACAAGGTTGGGTAAATACGAAAGACATACGAAAGAAAGTGTACAGCTCATAATTTAATCAGATTCAATCCTTATGATATTATCTTTGATCCTAATATCCTCACCATTGCTACCGGCATGGGTAACGTCTAGCAAAGTATTTCATTGAACATGAACTGATGTTTATTGTTTAGAGGAACATAACAATTATGCTGTTGAGTTTATTGAAGCCTGTCGAGCTATCAAGGCTACACTTCCTGGTGCAAAGATCAGTGGTGGTGTTTCCAACTTATCTTTTGCTTTTCGTGGTATGGACAAAGTACGTGAAGCTATGCATTCTGTCTTTTTATACCATACCGTGAAATCGGGTATGGATATGGGTATCGTGAACGCTGGTTTCTTGACAGTCTACGATGATATTCCCAAAGATCTTTTGAGACTTTGTGAAGATGCTGTCTGGAACCGTGATTCTGAAGTCACTGAAAAACTTCTGGATTATGCTAAAGCACATTCAAAAGATGCTAAAAAAGACGAAGATTTAGAAGAATGGAGAAATTGGAGTGTGACCGATCGTATTTCTCATGCTTTAGTGAAAGGCATCATGAAATATATTGTGGAAGATACAGAAGAGGCCCGTCTTGACAAGCAAAAGTATCCCCGTTCTCTCAATGTGATTGAAGGTCCCTTGATGGCTGGTATGAATATTGTAGGTGACTTGTTTGGTAAAGGAAAGATGTTTTTACCTCAAGTCATTCGTTCTGCTCGGTAAGAGGATTGATAGAAAACCCCATTTTTAATCTGACACACACATGGATCATAGTGTAATGAAAAAAGCGGTTGCTCACTTGGTGGAGTACATTAAACTTGAAAAAGAGCAAGACATGGCCTTGTCTGGAGAAACAGAAATCAAGGGTAATGGTACTATTGTCATGGCTACTGTCAAGGGAGACGTACACGACATTGGCAAAAACATTTGTGGTGTTGTTCTCGGTTGTAATAACTACAAAGTCATTGACTTGGGTGTGATGGTGCCCTGTGATAAGATTATCAGGACAGCTATTGAAGAAAAGGCAGACGTGATTGGTCTTTCAGGCCTTATTACACCCTCTTTAGAAGAAATGGTGATTGTAGCTAAAGAATGCGAGAAAGCAGGTCTCAAGATTCCTATTTTGATTGGTGGTGCTACGACTAGTAAAATGCACACGGCTGTCAAAATTGCTCCTCAATATTCTGCACCTGCAATTTATGTTTTGGATGCTTCCCGAAGCGTCCCTGTAGTTGCCAGTCTTTTAGATGAAAACATGCGCGAAGAATTTGCTGAAGATATTCGTGATGATTATGATGAAATGCGTGAGGAATACTATGAAGGTTTAGAAGAACGTCGTCTGTTGACCATCGAAGCTGCTCGAGAAAAGAAAATGGAAATTGACTGGATCCAACATCCTCCCGCTATCAAACCCCAATTCCTGGGCACGAAAGTCTACGATGACTATCCCTTAGAGAAGTTAGTCGACCATATTGATTGGAATCCTTTCTTCCAGGTCTTTCAGTTGCGTGGTCGCTATCCTAACCGAGGCTTCCCCAAGATTTGTGATGATGAAAACGTAGGAAAAGAAGCCAAGCGACTCTATCAAGACGCACAAGACATGCTCAAGATGATCATTGACAAAAAACGCTTGACGGCTCGAGGCCTTGTTGGCTTTTATCCTGCTCATGCTGTAGGTGATGACATTGAGATCTATACCGACGAAAGCTGTGAACAAGTAGCCGCTACTTTCTACGGTCTTCGTCAACAAGCTGAAAAAGATACAGAAGAACCTTATTATTGTCTCTCTGATTTTGTGTCTCCCAAAGCCTCTCACATATCAGACTATGTTGGTATGTTTGCTGTCAGCACTGGTTTTGGCTGTGAAAAGTTGGTAGAACAATATGAAGCAGACGGTGATGATTATAACAGTATCATGGCCAAAGCCATTGCAGATCGTTTGGCTGAAGCCTTTGCAGAAGCATTGCATGAACAAGTCCGTAAAGAAGACTGGGGATATGCTTCTGAAGAGCACTTGTCTGCTGCTGATCTTTTTGCTGTTCGATACCAGGGTATTCGTCCTGCTCCTGGTTATCCTTCTCAACCTGACCATACAGAAAAGAAAACAATGTGGCAATTGGGAGATATTGCTGAAAAGACAGGCATTACTTTGACCGAATCCCTCGCGATGGACCCACCTGCCAGTGTTAGTGGCTTGTTTTTTGGTCATGAGCAGAGTAAGTATTTTGCAGTTGGCAAGATAGAAAAGGATCAAATTCAAGACTATGCTGCTCGTAAGGACATGGATGTCGAAACTGTTGAGAAATGGTTAGGCACTATTCTTGCCTATGATCACTAATATATGTACAATCTATTTATTAAAATAAAAAAGACTACCAAGAATTAGCTTGTTCGATTTCTTCCAATTTCTTTGCATGCTTGTTGACAACTTGAATGATGTTGTTGATCTTTAACTTGTCAGCATCAAAAGCAAGTTTTTGACCATCACCTAATCAGGTAAGTTATTCTGTATAGTTAAATAAACAACTTACGATAGACCACTTGAATGTGAGAGGTTGCTTTGGGATCATTCAGGATATCAGTAGATATCTTGATGCTTGGGTTTACTTTACGTGCAGCATTTGTGTTGATATGATTCAAGAATAATCTAATATTTTGCCAGGGTAAGTTATTGCACTCATATTGACAAAATTACCTTGAAGATTTAGAAGCAATGTTAAAGGGTGCCAATGCAACCTTGACTTCAGTGATTTGTTTCATAAACATGGTAGAATAGTAGTCAATTTGGTAAAAGATTTTTTTTGTTCTTTCAGGCCCTTGAATTTAAGAAAATCGGAATTTGAATAATTTTGTCAGCGAGATTTACTCATCTTTCTCTCTCTCTCTCTCTAAACTAAGCAATGCGGATTCTTTACTGAATAGTGTAATAAAAGAATAGTTTCATTGCTGTTTGAATCTAATTGACCAAGTCATTTTGTTTAGGAGTATTTCTGGTGTTGCTAGAATCATTTCCATTAAGAGAATCAATTAAATCTCAATGAAAAGGAGTATAAATATCTCATTTACCGACCTTAAATGAATGACAAGCAGTCATAGAATTTATGAAAGTGTAAAGGAGTTTAGGCCATATTTACAGCATGAACAAAGATTTAAGCGGAGCATTAACTCACAAGTAACTCTGGCAATAAAACAATTTTTTTGAAAAAATAACTTTTTTTTCCCTTAGACACTAAAAAAAAAGGCAGAGAGTAAGGAAGAAACTCGAACTACGCACCTATATAAAAAGAGAAAAAATAAACGCTTCTTAAGCGAAGACTGACCCATACTATATTTGAATACCAGACTATCATGGGCTCTAAACCAAGCAGTACAGCAGCAGTTCAAGCTAACGCAACCAAACGTAAACGCTCTAATACCCAGGCTTCTCATCATAGCCGCCTTCACTTGGACACTCCAAAAACAGTTGTTCTTCAGCAAAAAGAACAAATAAAAGTTATTCCAATACCTGCCCAAGTTTTCATGTAAGTGCAAATAGAATCAAAAATCAAAAAGAAATTTCATCTCATTTTATATGATAGACCCAAGGTAATCCTATTGAATAAACACATGTATGACTGAAAACCTACCTTAGTTCGATCAACAGACATGTGCTCAACTATTTCAGCATTATGCTGACCCTGATTCTTCAGACATGATTACACCTGAAGGTACAAAGCAATTTTTTGAGGATTTAGGTGTCCCTATAGAAAATGTATGTATGTGTTAGTCTTTTTTTTTTTTACTTGCTGACATAATATATAGGTCTTGCTTTTCGCTATAGCATGGAGAATGCAGATTTCAACCATGGGTATGTAGAAAAGATAATACTAGAATGACACCGAATTAAGTATGTATGGACAGGGTATATTACAAAGGATGAATGGATGTCTGGCATGAAATCACTAGAGTATGTCAAAATAACAGAAACAGCGCAGCTCATCTCTTTTGATAGTTCTGATTCACTTGAAAAACTGCAACAAAAAAGGCCTGAATTTGAAAGAGTATTTGAGGATTCAGACCAGTTTAAAGAAATGTATAGGTACACTTTTGGTTATGCCAAAAACAACGATCAAAAGTGCATAGAAGTTGAGGTAAAGAACAGTCAACAGCATACTTATATGACTGACTGCTATTAGACTGCATCTGTCTTATGGACAATGCTACTCAGTGATAGATATCCCATTGTACATGAATTTATAGCGTTCTTACAGGACAAAGCACCAGTTAAAGTGATAAACAGAGATCAATGGAATAGCTTTCTAGAATTTGTATCGACTGATTTATCCGACTATGATGAATCATTAGCATGTATGTTATACCTTGGCAAAAAGAAAAAAAAACTAAGTTAAAATAGGGCCAGTATTATTTGATGAGTTTGTAGAATGGAGAACAATGACTAAATAAAGCTGAGGTTTTCAAGTGACACAAAGTATGTCTATTCAGGGAATTTACTTTCAACTAAACCTCATGTTATTCACTGGTAATACAGTCTTCGAGATCTAAAAGATAGAACTTTAAGAAAAAAAACGTTGGTGTTTATTTATAGAGAAATGAAAGATGCAAATAATACATGGTGTGTTTAGGAATGGTGGGCTTCTTTGTTTTCAAGTGTTAACTTATTAAATGCTTCAATATCACCTTCACTTAACAATTCTTGTTCTCTAGTCTGCACTTGGTTCTTTTTACGAAGAGCAGGGAACAGGAATTCTTCTTCTTCTTCATCGTCATTAAACATAGAATTGACTTCCATTCTCATACGAGGTGAAGCAGGAGCAGATAAAGGCTTAGGGATCTTGACAACATTGCTCTGTAAGAGTTCTTCTTCATCATCGTCATCAACAAAACTATCAGGATAAGCACGACGAAGAGCAAGTTGACGTGCCTTGATATATTCAAGACCCATACGCTTCCAGTCTAGAAGATCAGATAAACGCTCTGTACGGTTACGTTGGTTAATACGTTGTCGGCGTGTCTTTTGAACAAATTGGTACATTTGATCACACAATTGCTGAAGAGAATCTTCCACAGACTTCATACGACGATCTGTAATGTAAATACCATAGTCTTCACAGTTTTCAATATTTTCTTCCATAAAACAACCAAAGCCAGATAAATTAGTAGTGACAGAAGGAACACCCATCACAGTACATTCAGCAGGTGTATAGCCCCAAGGTTCATAGTATGAAGGGAAGACACCCAAGTGACAACCACGCACAAATTCTTCATAGTCCATACCAATCAATGGGTTATTGGCATTCAAGAATTCAGGATGGAATACAACCTTGACACGATCATCTGAGTTATTGAACATACCAAGTCTTCTTAACTGATTCAAGACAGGATCCTTGTGGTCATCTACAATGTTGTGTGTGACAATGGGTGGTAAAGAAGTACGCTTGAGCGCAAAGACACGACGCTTCAATAACACTTTGTCGGCGTCTGAGAGGAAATTGGCAGGGTTGATGTCTTCAATGCGAAGAGCGTTTTCATAGATGGCTTTACCGACACGATCTTGAATTTCACTTACTGTTGTACGCAATTGACGAGTCACAGCTTGACCCTTCAAAGCCTCTACGTTAAATGAATGTGTAGCTGTAGGCATAATAGCAAAGGCAACGACAGTCATTTTGGAACCAGAAGATTTGAGACGAGCATTTAAACCTTTAACAAATTAACTACACGGTTCAATGGTGCACCTGTATAATAATACTTACGAGAAAGAGATTCTATAAACATATCAACACCCTTATTGCGATATTCGTAACGGCCTGCGGTAAATATGTAGATGGTGTTATCAAGATCGAAATCATAATGGCCATAAAAGTGACCACGTACGAAATCATGGATTTTTTCTTTAGCTACAGCATGAAGGTTTTGGAATTCATGCATGGCCGAAAACTTGACAACGTTCAGACCATTAGGCAAGACACCATCTTGTCTCTCATTAGCATTTACTATATAACAATTCTCCTACACTTACCAGGTTTACGCTTCAACAAATGCTCGGATTCATAAGCCGTGATATGGGAAACAGTCGTGAAGACATCAGCACAATGAGCAGCGCCACGCTCAATACAATAACGGTGATAAATACCACGCTTGCCAGCTTCTTCATCAACGTCAAACTTGGAGAGATTGTTATAAAAGTCAACAGAGCCAGCACATAAGTAACGACCCAACAAAGTGGCATGTGTAGTGAAAATGGTACAAACGTCAAGATGACGCTTCTTGATGAGGGGAATGGCTACACCAGCTAGCCATTCGTGGAAGTGACATATAATGGCGGGGTCTCCAGATTTGTTGTACTACAAGCACAAGGCAATTAAATTCTCTGTCCCAGCTTTTTCCAGCTGCATTTCTTACCTTGGGTGCAAATTCACCAACAAACCAAGTAACTAAATAACCAAAAAGAATAGCATCGTTTGTCTCAGTATCGTTAGGAGGAGAAGGAATGCCAGCAACACGCCAAAGATCACCCTTCCATTCATCCAACTTATGAGCAACACTGCCCGTATCAAACAAGAGCACATAAGGAGATCCTTCAACCAGCCAGCGACCATAAAGATATTTTACGCCCTGTTGAGTCATAGTATCAAGTGCTTGCTTGATCTTTTCGTTAGCGGGTTCACATGCTTCAACTTCCATAGGAGCAGACTTATAAGATAAAGGGCCAATTAACGTATAACGATCACCAAATTCGCGCATGGTTACAGGCACTTTGGTCTTGATCACAGTGTAGATACCACCCACTACAAGTGTGTCAGTATGGGCGCACGCATAAAGACGACTTACCTTTATTAGCGACTTCCCAAGCAATTTCGAAAAGTAGAGGATTATATACATCTCTTTGGATAGGTGTAGTCATATTGAGTGGAAGAAGAGAAGAAGGTTTAGATGCAGGAAAGAAAGAGAGAAAGAAAAAGAAAACAAAAACAAAAACAAAAACAATGCAACACGCATTTTATTCATGAAAAAACTGTGTTGTATACACAAGTTCATTGGTTACCTTGATACGATGGGAAGTTTGCTGGTAAAGTTTGTGTGCACTGTCTTTTGAATCAATTTTTGAACCGGCGATTGTAACAAGAGCAAGTATAGAGAAGCTGGGAGATCCTCCTTTGAGGTCAGCTAAAATCATTGGCGACTTGAGTTTTCTCAAGAGTAGCAATCATGCAGATTTATTATATATGTCATAGACCTATATTTTGTGTTATTGAAGGCCTTTCATGCACAAGAATTTTCATTTCGAATGATTCTTGCTGATTTGTCTACATTGTTGATATACACACTTTGTCTAATATCCTTGTAGAAAAAAACAGGTAAATATCAAGTAAGAAATACCCCAAGAGAATTTGAAACAACAAGCAAATTGACTGCATTGAATAAAGTTTGTTTTACTACATAATTATAGCATCGCAGATTAGTCTGATTTGATATAGACGCGTTTTATTCTTGATCTGATTGGTATTCCGCAATGATAAGCTCTTATGTAAGACACTCCCACACCTGCTTGGTGAAAATATTTCCTTATTGTGCTGGTTACATATAAAAGTCTAATTTTTTTCCCTTCTATACTTTTCTACTAAAAACCTTTTGTGTTTGTAGTACCAAGAAACAAACTGTACGCTTTTATTTTAAATAAGAATGATATGAATTGATATATGTGTTTTGATTGAAAATATATACGTGTATTAATAAGTGTAAACTACAGTTCTTAGGCCAAGAATCTACCAACAATATGAAGGCCAAACACAGATGCAATGAAAGTCAATGAAAGGACCAAAACAACAACAGGATCACTATAAAAAATCATATTATAAGCAAACCATTTGCTATATATATGTATGCACACTCTTTTAATACTTACACACGAAGACCTGGGGAGTCGTCAGAGTAGATACGCATCATACTAGAAGTACTTCCACCGGGAATACCACCACGAGCAGCATTGTTAGTGTTGCTACGAGAGGTGACACGTTTTCTATAGATTATAGTCAATACCTTATTTCAAAATCCATGTCTTTTTTTTTTAGTTGAATCACTACATGATTGCCTTAAAAGAAGGGGCAGGCAACAAGTCCAAAAGAAAAAAGAATGTTGTTTCTTACCTAATAGTACCCTTGGGTGTAGAGGAATCGGCTTGCTATTATAATATAATGATAAACATTAGTAAACACGCCAGACTGGCACAATAGATAAAGCCTTACCATTTTGTGATGAAGTAAAAGGCGATGAAAAGAAGAAAGAATTCCTTAAAAAACCGCAATGAGGATAAATAAAGTTGCACAGACTGTTGTGGTCCATTGATTGGTGCAAATAATTCAATAGAGTTCGCTTTCAAGATGGCTTTTGTGACGTAGAAAAAAAAAAGAGCATGCCCAATAACATCTGTTTGTATTCTTTTTACACTTTTAAGTCTTAAAGAAAGATCAACTTGTATATTGTCTTCAAATATTGTGTTTTGTGAAAATAAATGGAATGTATAATGATAATATCAAATTTACTTTGGTACTATTTAATATGCACAAGCAATGTTTGTAAAAGAGATATTTTGCAGCTTTATCATTGCAATTATCATGAGCAAAATCTAATTGTTTGTTCATTCAATTTGGATTGTTTGCTTAAAAGTATAATTTACACAACAGAAGTGAAGTGACTTTAGCATATGAGCATTGATCTGTAGTACGGTATATCGTGGATCATTCCATCTTTTTTGTCTTGCCGCGCTATTAGTAAACATATCAGACGTTTTTCTTTCGAATACGGCTTTGCTTTTTTTTTTCCTTTGAGAAAATAAGTCATCATTTTGTCATCATTATCATTGATGGTAATTTCTAGACAGACACTATCAACTTTAGAATAAATGTCAAGCAGATGTGCAATATCAATCGAAACTTTTTCTAATTTTTCATAATGTAAATTGAATATGTAGCTCTCTTGAGCAACTCGATATCCTTGAAGTGTGCAGTCTTCGAATTCAAGCCTTTTCATATGCGGAAGCTAAGGAGATAGGATCTCCAGAATTTGAGGCACTATACCCTTTAAATCGCTTAATAAATACATCCATAGCTTGAGAGTCTGCTCTCTTGATTAGAATATTGAATGCAAAAGGCCTGTCAAACGAGGTTGTCAAATCTTCAGAAAAATAAAGGGTGTGCAAACCAACAAGATGGCTATAGATATATCTACAAAGCTCTTCTGATAAAGTATGCATGTCTATAATGAGACACTTAACTGAGGAATGTATGTTAGTATTTTCATCTCTAAAAGGAATCAATTGACGACAAGTACAAGGAGATGCGATCTATAGCGTAAAGTAAGATTCTTGAGTCGAGGGAATTCAGACAAGAGGCCACATAGATCCTTTGTTTGTTCTTGATTTTTTATATTTCTTGTGCTTTTATTTGACCACAAAAAAAAGTACTTTTTCCACTGCCAAACTGCAACTTTGATTCGCTGATAAAAAGAGAAAAGATGCTACAATATATAGCATGATAGTTCCACTAGATATACCCATAATGCGAAGAAAATGAAAAGCGACTTGGTGATATTGAACAATTAGTGGTTATGAATGCAATTAAAATGTACTCAAAATATATTCAAAATCAAAAAGTGCGCCAACAGTACTTTTAGATAGCCATTGTGCTCTTGATACGCGGTAAACTGCTCATGAAGCAAGAAATATGCAGAAATGCACATAATTTACTCCATCAAAAACCGAAAATAATCCAATTTGGTAGTGGAAATCATTTATTTGCTCTAGAGATAAGGGACTTTCTTTGACTTATTATCATATTGATATATGCCAGCAAGTTATTTTTTTTTGGGGGTTTATGCAAAATGATGCCAAAGACTCTTTATGTTGAAAAATTTTAACAGCAAGATATTGAGTTGCATCTGGACAAAAAAACGAAATATGGTTTAGAAATACATCAATATAAAGCTTGATTAAATTGATGTCTCAAGTAGAGTAGCCTATTGTAGTGCGCAGTACATAAACATTTAAAGCAAACATATTGTTTTCAAAAAGTGCTTGTGATCCAACACGCAAAATATAATGCAACGTTTCTGTATATATCGTGTAAACTTTTCGTGTAGTTTTTCCAGATTGAGCACTTGAAGTATGTTTATTGATGCAGGAGCAAAATATTTATTATAGTAAGGATCGCTTGTACTACCTAAGCTATGAATCTCAATCAAATATTTATCGAGCAGGACTAAAATGCAGTTCATAAAACTCACCAGATCAACAGCTCATTGTATCATTGTATCTTAATAAGATACTCTACTTGAATAAACAAAGGCTTCAACAGCGAGAACGACGACAATGCATGCATGCAAATCTTTGTGTTTTTCTTGGACATATAAAGGTAGCATAAAGCCTGTTTATGCACGTATAAATACTCTAGATACCTACAAATGATGTTTACTAACTTCCATGGTATCTTTCGAGTTGATTTGGACAAAAAAAAAAGCGACCTGTAAAAGATAGCCAAAATAGCCTTTTGATCAAAGGGTACTAGCCATAAAAATCATGGAGCTGACAAGTCCTCAAGCTTTTTTTTACGCTACAGAACGAAAAATTGGGCTATTGGCAAGATTAAGTACTCAAAATGAGCGCCAGAGACTATATTTTTTACTGAACGTGTTTACTTAACAGTTGTACTATAAAAATACTATAATATGAGCAAAAAATCTCTAGAACATTTCTGCTTATTTACTCAATACTCTACTAACAAACACCTTGCGTTTTCTGTATCAACAGAGCTAAAACACACAAATCTACAGCTTTTGTCACTGCACCAAAGCCTAATAATTGCGTCTTTATGCAGTTCTAAGAAAAAACCCCATTTCGGATGCGGCAGGAAGAATTGGAATTGATCTGTTTCAATCTTCGCATATAGCCATTCCACACATCTTTTGTCCATTTACTCCATATTTACATTACAAAATGCCTATATCTCTATTTTTCTATGTTCTTTTATACTCTAAATAGCATAAATTACTTTAGAGAGACCCATTGCTAACAAGTTTTGTAGGTCATCTAGAGCAAAAAGGCTCAAATTACAGCTTAAACAGGCCAGTCTTTGATGCATCATTACTCGACAACCAGACTACTAAAACGGCCTCTTTTTTCATTTAAAACGTTTTTTGAGTCCATAAATTGAATGGTATCATTAGTTTGGTAGTTGAGTGTTTTTTTTTTATTTTTTTTTATTTTTTTTTATTTTTTTTATTTTTTTTATTTTATTTTTTCATCTTTTTATTTAATGTAATTCTTCTAAAATTAGCGGCACTTCAGCATAAGCAGTGGAAATTTTCTTCGATTGATTGCAGAAATGGAAATTTTTGGCTAAACCTTTACTCAAATATGGAAGAAAAATACAATTGCGTATGCTGTGGTGAGAGTGTATTTTTTTTAAAGCTAAAAATAATTGTTTTCCAGAAATGTTTTTCTGTTGGCACAAATATTTTTTTTTTGTAGTTGGATTTTATTTACAATATTATTGATTAGTCACACATAGCAGAGAGGTGGGACGTCGAAAAACAGGAGTAAAGAAAGACGAAGTAAAGATCATACAATGATCAGGGCTATTTTAGCAAGGAGTGATTTTTTGTAGCTAAGGCTACCTGGTAAATTGTATCTGAAATGATACAAGAATGTTCAAAAGCAACCTGGTTAAGAATCAGGTTCCAATAGGATTTCCAGATATTCCATTGAGCTATCGCAACGATGGATACAAGTTTGGAGCGGTTTGTAATGGCAGGAGGAAAGGCTTGAAGAGTGAGGACCTTGTGGAGGGAGGACGGAGTAAAGTATACCAGAGGGTAGTAGCAGTTTAGTATTTCCAACCAAACACTCCACTTGGTAGAGCAGTGGGTTATGAAATAATCATACGATTCCGGTTGTGATTTGCACAGCCGACAGACAGGAGTAGAGACAGTATCAATCTTGAAAAGTTCGGACGCAGTGGGCAGTTTCTTGTGAAGCACACGATACCACAGTGTTCTAGCCTGAGGGAGCATTGGAGTCCTCCAAAACAGAGAGAGCGAAGTACGAGAAGCCTTTATTCGGGATTTAGCTTTGTCTTCATAAGGATGCAGGCAGAAATCCTTAGAAGTGAAAGAACGCCACAATCTTGTGTCAGTTAATTGCTTGGTCAAAGCATCATATACAGATACAGTAGATGGTGTCACATCTTGTGTAATATATTGCCACAGGAAAGATTGAAGTTTTACTGTTCGTCTACGAAGAACGTCTATAAAGAGCTGATGGCACAATCCTGGTAATGTCCCATATTCATGGCGAACCTTCAGGCGTAACCGGTTACTCTGTTCGTCAAAGAGGAAGAAGAGAGATGCTGGTACTTTTGAATGTCGATGAAGCCAGTGGTTCTGAGGTACCTCTTGAAACATGTTAATCAGCGGAAAGTAAAGCAAGTTGGCTAGAGGCACATTATCAAGTTTGAAGTTGATACCAAAGTGATCAAAGGCAGCATAAATACCATTGACAACTGAAGTGGGATGACAAAGGTCATGACGGCGAAGAGCTCTAGAGAAAAAGGGTAGCAATGTATTGTCAGCATCCGGAGACATGATGCCAAAGTGTTCTGTCATAAGCACTCGGAGCTGAGGTGTTAGATTAGACGAACTAAACAGAGTAAAGACCCATCTCATCTGCAGCACCAAGTATTGTGTGATAGGGTTGAGAGCTTCTACATCACCTTGATTCTTAGGGAGACATAACTGGTCAAAAGAAACATAAGAAAACTTCTTTTGCCACACGTAAGCATAGATAATCGAACGAAGTTTATTCAGAAATCGCTTAGTAGGCGCAAACAACCGCAAGCAGTACCAAATTTTGGATAAAATCAAAGTGTTGGCAACGGTAGCTCTTCCTTGAAGCGAGAGGTAATGCTGAGAGTAGCCATGAACCCGTGTACGCACTTGTTCCAATAACATATCCTGAACACGATTCCGTTGAGAATTTGTGTATGGCATATAAAAGCCAAGGTATCGAAAAGCAGAAGGGGAATGATGGTGGTAGTATGTTTCGATATCGTGACTCAAAAGCAAAGATTCCCAAGATTCTGACTTGACTCCACTCAGTGAGAAAGCTTCCGTCTTGTGCTTGTTAAATCTTGCATTTGATACAGCACTATACTTAGTCAAGTGATGTTGGAGACGCATAAAATCAGTGGAATCCTTGACAAACACACAGATATC